TTGAGCAGTGAAGCCGGTGCCTGCATCCATAATTAAAGCCCACAGATTTGAACACGAAGCCACGCTACTGATAAATAGCCCATCTTCATTTCCTTTCTCTATATGTTGGGAGAGCCTCCCATCAGCTACATTATAATGATATCTACACAGAAGCAGGGGGAAATCATCAGTTTTCTTTACCCCTCTATCACTAACTTGAAGAACTTGAGAGTTGACTTCAAGTAAATACCTTTGCTTCATAGGCCGACGAGCATTATAAACACTAATCCATTGTGTTGCAGGCATCCCCATGCGAACCTTCTTCTTTGGCTGTTCATCTTCTTCGTCCTCAATTGTCAGTCGTCCTCTCTTATGTCCTACCTGATATATAAGCTTCACGGCACAAATATATACATCAAATAAAATCCAAATCAAGACAAAAAAGAAAAATATTTATAAAAAAGAAGAAGCTCATTAGTCAGAGAAAGACAGATGCAATCAAACTACCTTCTGTGCACCATCAGTGTTTATTGGCCGAATATCTGGATTTGGACCAACAATTCCATCGAAAAGGGAGATATATTTTGCATAATTGGGTTCCTCATCAAACTTCAAATTCACCACATACTCAACAAACTGCCGAAAAGGCTGAGGGCAAAAGCAACACAAAGTTTCTGCGGAAGTGGCCATCTTCTTCTTGCACACAAGGAATCCTTTACTTTCCCCCTAGAAGAAAACACTTGATTGGAGTGACATACAAATTAATCAAAGCATAACACCAACAATTTAGAAATTGCAAACCTGATATCCTTGCCAAGGAAGTCGGCCGCGAAGAAGAAAAATGAGCGTGTATGCAAGAGACTCTAGGTCATCTCTCCTGCTACCAGTTCTACCAAGATGAGCATGCACACTAGCATAGCGCACTGTTCCTCTGCACCACAGAAATCAGAATGCACCAGTAAATCATGGTCAATAAAACAACATTTAAGAAACCTAAGCTGTAACTATTATATGAAAACAGATTCAATATTACCTGAAAACATCTGGACGTTGGTCATATTCAACATGTTGGCCAGTTGAACTATCTCGCCACCTTGTAGCTGTAACACAAAACAGACAACAAGATGATACATTGTTAGGTGTACATCTATAACATAACACAGACGACAATATGAAACATCATTAAGTATACAACATTCTGCACGAAGAAGACAGTATCTGTCACATCTTACCTAGCCCAAGGTCAACAAGAAAAAGCTTTTTCTTGTCAGGAGTTCCTGGGGGACCAAGCAAAAAGTTCTCAGGTTTTACATCCCCATGCACATATCTGGCAAAGATAAAAACTGTAACATCATATTCAAAGCACCAATACACAGCAACAATAGGTTGTAAAAGAATGGACCATCACCGATCTTAATTGGGCATTAATGGATAAACTGAAAGAAATATCATAAACTAATAAGAATTATCACCCTCTAGAGTGCATCTTCTCTAAAATGGAGATTGCTTCAATAGCAATACATGCAACCATTTCAATTGACATCCTGAATAGAAAAGCAGAAGTAAAACATTAGATCAGGATTAAGTGGCCCACTCAGTGAATAGTTTTGGATTGAATAACATTCTGCTATCAGTTTTAAAAAGAACTTACGTATGTGAATTGTTATTCCAAACATCCCATAAACTAGGTCCAAGCATATCCATAACCTGTATGCAATATTGGATTATAGTATGAAATCATTCCACATGCATAAAAATAAAATTAAAATAAAGCCTCTTGGTCTCATAATAGGACAGTATTAAAGCAAGGACATACCATGACATAGTAGTCACCTTGCCGGCCCTTGAAATGAACTCGTGGCACACCATGACTGCCACCAAGTGCACTGTTTAAACAGCAAAAAAAGTGAAAGTTTATCCTCGCATGTAATTTTTACAATAATTACACAATACATGGAAAAGAATACAAAACAAGATAAAACAGAAGTCTCACTTGTAAACTTGCCACTCATAAGGCGGTCCATAATTACACCCTTTACTACTTCTATGCTCAAATTTTAAGGCTACCTAGAAATTCACAGAGAAAATGTAAGTGCATTGCTCTTGTAATTCAAAACAAAATGAAACAAAACAAAAGCAATATTAGCAATCATGTCACACCTCTAAAGCTCCTGGGCCAGTTCTCTCAGTTGTTGGACTAATCCGCCGACCAACATACACTTGCCCAAAGCCTCCTTTCCCCAGTTTTCTTTCTATTCTGTACATTGGGGAACCGCCAACCTGGACCTGTTCTCATGAATCAAAGTATTAGAACACCATAATGACAGCCCAATCTTTTCAGTTCTCCATAATTCCTAATTGCTATGACTTATCTTCACAATGCATTTTACTTCTCAGCATAAAAATATTTGAAAGAAATAATAATAAGATTTTTTTTTGATAATATTCATTATTCATATATATTAATTACCGCTAAAATTCCAAAGCAACACAAAACACGACTACAGCAAAATGAAAATGAAATTCGTTATTTTCCACCATTTTCACAGCATTTCTACCAACCATCCAAATAAGATTAACAAAAATGTTTAGAAAGTGGATGAAATTGTTAACCTTCTCGGGAAGAGGAGCTGTGCTTCCTTCATCCTCAGCTCCGGCACCCTTATCTGCGCTACGGCCACCGCTGTCGTAGTCATCCATCTTTTTCTCAGCAACTTCTTCTACCAAAACCCTAACCTTTTCGTTGTCCTTCAACGGCGTTGTTTCCTGAACGTTCACAATATTATTATTACCGTTCTTCTTGTCATCAACAGCGACGATCGTCCTGCGTTTCGTCTTATTCTGTACGGTTCTCCTTTGTTGTCGAGTTCGAACAGTCAACTTCTTCCTGTTATTATTATTGTTATCGTTAATATTATTGTCGAAGTGAGGTTGTTGGCTTGGAGCAATTAGTTCTGGATTCGGGTTCGGGTTTTGGTTGATGGAGGCCCGATATCTGCGAGCTCGGCTGCTCAGTTCAGGCATCGTATGGACTTAGTTCATCCATGAAGGAGAAGATTCACGAAACTTCTAGAATCATCGTCCAGATTCGATTCAGTGGTCCGGAAGATGACGACGACGACGCCGCGTTTGCTTTTACAGAGATGCGAATGAGAATGGAGAGAAAAAATTAGGGTTTTGAGAGTAAAATTTTGGAGATCTGTGGAGGGAAATGAAAAGAAAGAGATTCTATTAGCCCACACACAGAGATGAGAGAGTTTTTTTTTTGGGTTTTTTTTTTTTTTTTTTTTAAATTTGAGTGCAGGATGTATGTAAAAAGTCACACTTTAATTTTCCAATAATGTATTTTAATTAAGTTTAGTGATGATAATAATTTAATTAATATTTAAATAATCCCATTCTATAAATAAACTTGTGAGGATCAATGTAAATCCAATAGACATAGCATAAACAAAAGAAAGACTTGGTTGGCGAAATGCCAAATTTCCCTCGGTAGTTATATTATATTATAAAATATGTGCATGCAAAGGTAGGGTAAAAGACGGTGCACGGTGACTAATACTACACCAAACAACATTTTTTTTACAATTTTTTTTTTTTTTATAATCAAGATGTAATAATTCGTAATTAATTAATGAAATTCATATGAGATTCATGTGAGACTCGTTGGTATAATATTATTCTACACGGATAAACGTGTGTTGGAAAATGATGATTAATTTTGGCTTTTATTTTTATTAAGAATGAAGAAAAGTAAAAAATGTCAAAACAAATTATTTGAAATATTGGAGAAACTGTTTAAACCAACTTTGAACATATGAAAAATTCCATTTGAAGCAAGCAGCCATTAACAATCTATATTAGGTTTAGATTTTGGTATGATGGGTTGGCTATTTGGGAGATGACACGTCATGGGGAATAAAAGGAACTTTATGGTAAGGGCTAATGGTAGAATTTATCCTCCAGCCATATAAAGTTTTACAACTTTCAAAAACAAACCAATTTGATAAAGATGTATGTGAAGACGACGCATCCATTCTTGTATTTTTTTTAGGATTCGTCGACCTTGGGACTTTAATTAGCAGAAAATCAGCTTCTAAATAAGTTTTTTTACATTGGAATTAGTGAAAATTGAAAAAGAAATTAGATGGTAGATGGCATATCAAAGCAACATGAATACACGTTTATCATGAAAATCATGCGGCTGGTAATTTGTATCCAATTGAGCCTAATTAAAAAAAAAAGAAAAAAAAAAAGTAGGGATTAGGTGAAAATGCTTTCCAATATTTGGCTTGGAAACTAGAGTATTTTTCTCAACAAAAATGAGTTTATAATGAAGATGCATACTTCCTGAATCAGAGTCAACAGAATTTGTCTGCATCTATCAGTCTTTGATCCAAGCCATAACAGGCTCTTTCCAAGTCCCCACCACACGAAACACTTTTGAAAAGGATAACTCAACCCAATTCTCTAACTGAAGCATCCCACTTCATCATCTCAACCCAAAGTTCGTTTATGGGCTTCAGCCCAAACATTGGCATCGAGGACCCAAATCTAAACAATCCCCAGTTTTAATATATCATTTGTTCATTTTTTTTGGTGTGCTTAAAATAGATCCATATGATGGATCAAACCAAACCAAACCAACCCTATAAATATTAAAGCCATATCGGACCAAATTATAGCGCGATGTCTGGGTTCTGTCATAATCTTAAGGGATTTGACTCATGGGATCCAATTCACTAATTTGAAACATAATCATTTACAATGAGTTTATCATTATGTACATATAGGTGGAGGAACCACGGCCTGGCAGCCTGACTTATCCAGTGAACAACAACTCACTCTGTATCAGCCTGGGCTCGACCTATTAAGTTGTGTCACCGGTGTCACTGTAAATGAGCCCACAAGAGATATGTGCTTCTCCAGCTCAATTCAAAATCACTGCTTCTTTACTCCCGTTACCGCTTTATTGACATCACAGAAGACAAAGCTGATACGTACGTGGTCGACATGCCACGTCATCCATGTAGGTTAGCTGTTTTGCGGGTAGATTTCCATTTCTGCAACCTCAACTGCTTGTAAAACTTCTGGATAAACTCCTCAGCTTCCTTGTCCACGTGGCAGTCTCTGTCATCATCTTTCAACGGAAAGGGCGAGTCTCTGACCCTCACCCGGCGACTCACCGGTCCCACCAGAGGTGAAAACTCTGTCAAATCACACTCTGGAACTCCCACATCATCCTCACAAATGAGTGGCGGTGGCCGCGTTGCTGCGGCATGGTGTTTGCGATGATTGTACGGAAAAAATTGGGCTGTGCGCTTGCCGAAGTGCAGGTTGGGAATGTTGGGTGGAAAAGCTGGACTGTTACTGCAGCTGAACTCGTAGTCTCGAGGTGTTATGAAGGAAGCGTGCATGTCATGTGACCGGCAACTGAGTCTGAGGGTGGTATAATGGTGGATCATGAGATCGTTTAGAGCTTTCCCGACGATCTTGCCGCGTTGAACCAAGAGGTGGAGATCAACAAAAAGCTTGCTCTTTGTGACACCCTTTTGAACAATGAACAAAAGTAGACGCATCATTTTGCATAATTTGATAGGAATAACGGGTGGGTTTGGTTCCATTTTCATGAAACTTTGAGAGAGAGGTGAATACGGAGTAGCTTGCAGAGGAAAGAGTGATAACGAGAGGTATTTAAAGAGTGGAAAAGGTACAGTGAAACCCCACAGGGCCACTAGAGAAAAATTTTAATTTCTTATTTTAAAATAACAAACTAAATTTAGTCATTGTTTTGTTTTGTGCTGTCTGTTTTTTGTTTGATATAATTTTTAATTTGTTTTTTAATAACATTATTTGTCATTTACCATGTGATTTTTGAGTTACGTACAGAAAAGTGCTTTTAAATTCAGCGTTCACTGCGGGGGCCTGATTTTGATCGAATAGACAAATTTTAGTATAGCTATATGATAATGGTTATCCGGTTTATTAACGGAAACTACACAGTTACCTTTAGGTAATTAACCACCAATTAGTCTAATTTTTGGACATATTATTTAAGAAGTTTAAAATTTATTTTACTTTATTTTTTAATAAAATTGGCCATTTGGTATCTTTGCTGAGTCAAAAAATATTAGTTAAAATTCATATAAACTTAATCAAACATCTTCGGTCAACAATATATATATATATATATATGTGTGTGTGTGTGTGTGTGTGTATACGTGCACGCGTGCGGGGGGTTAAGCCATGGAATTAATGTCCCTTAATTTCTTCCTAATAATTGACACATCTTGTTCAATAAGACCAAACTAATTAATGAGCAGCTGTAATATAGTTGTATCAGGTTGGCAGTAGCCGTTAGACCTGGCAAAAGAGGGCTTGTACCCGCTGGTCAACGGGCACCCAAACCTAACAGGCGAGTACAAATATCTTTTTAAAATACCAATTTCAAAGTTACCTGTACTCGGCCCAGTCGTGAAAATTGTGGGTGGGCCAAGTAATGCCCGCAAGTACCCGCACTTGAATTTAAAAAAAATAAAATCCATAATTATAATTCAAAATAAATGAATAATTAATCAAGTCAAAAGTCAAAACAAATTAACTAACCCTAACTCTCAAACTGAAAAAAAAAAAAAAAAACGCGACTCACTTAGTCTCATTCTCTCAAACTCAATCTCAACTTTCTCACAGAGTCACGTTGATGACGAAATAACAACAACTCTCCACTCAGTCTCATTCTCATTCTCTCAAACTCAATCTCAACTCTCAACTCTCTCACGGAGTCACGCTCACAGCTCACTCACATTGACGCGAAACAACAGCAGCTCTCCACTCAATCTCATTCTCTCAAACTCAATCTCAACTTTCTCACAGAGTCACGTTGACGACGAAACAACAACAACTCTCCACTCAGTCTCATTCTCTCAAACTCAATCTCAACTCTCAACTTTCCCACGCTTACAGCTCACTCACTCCAACGAACGACAGCTCCCAAACCCAGGCCAACGACGAAACAACATCAACTCTCCTCTCACTCTCATTCTCTCTCAATCCGACGCTGCCTCACTCGAATAGCAGCGACTCTTACTCTCATTCTCTCAACAGCAACAACTCTCTCTCATGCCATCGGCAACTCCTCTGTGCTTCTTTGTTGTATGAAAATGAGCGGCAACTCTCTCTCACGCCCAATCATTCTCAGCGGCAGCTCTTTCTCACACTATCGCTGCCTCACGCCTTCGCCGCAGCTCAATCTTCCAATGTCTGTCGTTGTCACATCAACGCCATAGCCATCTGAGACTGAAAGTAAGGTATGTTGTTTACCTTGGCGATTGTTTGGACGTGATTTTGGGAGCAGTTGTGATCCTCTATGCTCCCTTGTTGTATGAAAATGAGCAAGTTAAATATGTAGTTGTTTTCTCGGTGCCGATTTCTTGATAGAGCCTGCGCCATTTTTTGTCAAAAATATGGAAATGCTTTCTCAATTATATTAAAATTATTCAGGTTAGCAATTGTATAGATAACTATCCGTCATATTTGGAGATTATATTCATCTTGGGTTTGTTAATATATTTTGCAAATTCAAAATCTATGTAGGAATGCAAATATGGAACCAAATTTATGTTTGTTTGTAGCCTGTAGGCTCTATTCTGCCTTACCTACCTGAGAGTTCATATTAATTTAAATTATAAATTATATTAACTCTAAATGTTAGGTCTTCGATTTGCATGCCTAAATTGTAGCCTGGGTTGATCTATTATGAATCTGTTAATTTTTAATAACTCAACATAGATGTTAACTTATAACTACTGTTTTGCAGGTTAGTTTCATTTTAGAGTTTAGACAATACTGAGTTGCAGTCTGAAATCTGAATTATACCCAGGTTAGTTTGTCCCAAAACTTACTGTTTTTAGTTTTTTGAGTTGAGGAGTGTTGACTGTTGAGTTGGAAAAATCCAGTCATTTGGTAGAGCTGGTTTGCTTGTAAAATATATGGGAGTGTTTTGTTTTTATTTTGGCTGGATTGTTTTGATCAATTAATTAATTTAAACACAAATACTCTATTGTGTCCTTTAGATTGGCTTGGCATGGAGGAGTCTATAGATTTGTTTAATGAGGCGATAGAAACGGGTCGTAATGTAGTCGTATGTCAATCTCCTTCTAGTGGTAGTACTGTTTGTCCAAAAAACCGTAAAGTTTAAGATGTTTGGGGTCAATTTACAACATATATGGCCGAAGAGAATGGGAATGTGAGGGCAAGGTTTTTGATTTGTAGTAAGTCTTATGCATATGGTAGTTCCACTCATAGGACTAAGAATTTAAAGCGTCATATGGAAGGTTGTCCTAAACGTACCCTTAGTATTGTAGATCAATTGATGATGGATTGTGATACTTAATTGAGACGTTTGAGGATTTCTCAAAATATTTATCGTGAGAAGATGGCAGTAGGAATCATAAAACATAATTACCCATATTCAATAGTGAAGCATGAAGGAATTAGGGATGTCCACATGTATTTGAATCATGAAGTTAAGCCTTATACTAGGAACACTGCTAAGGCGGATTGCATAAAGATATATTATAGGGAGAAGGAAAAGATTAAGCTTGCTTTAGAGACGGTTTCGGGTAAAATATACTTGACTTTTGATATTTGGAGTTCTTGTACTACTAATGGGTACATTTCTTTAATGGCTCACTATGTTGATGAGAATTAGGAGTTACAAAGTAAAATTCTTAATTTTTACCATATTCTTCCTCCACACTTAGGGGCTCTTTTGTCAGATCAAGTTCTTCATGCTTTCTGATCGAGCTATGCTCTCAAATCAAGCTCTCCATGCTTTCTGATCTAGCTATTATAATGACTCTCTCTCTAGCTAGTATATTCGTAAAATAACAGTAAAAACTCATTAAATATATATAAGAAAATATATTAACGAGTATAAAAGTATGGGCCCATATTTAATTTTCTTTATACACAAAACTTTACATAATATAATAAAGTCTCAAAATATTAACTTGACAGTTTTGCCCAACCCTTCTGCTGTGTGACTGTTCCAAATGACCGCCTTTCACCTGTTACCTGCAAAAACATTGGAAACAACAGGGTGAGCACTAATTGCTCAGTAAGTAAACCCGTTATGCTACCCTTTTCTCTCCGTTGCTTAATTTCTGAATTTCTTTCCTTACTTTACATTTCCCCATTCTTCTCTATTCTTTCTCTACTCTTACTCTGTTTTTCCCTCTGTTCTAATTTCCCACTACTCAGATAACGGGCATGGTATGATGCATATATATAATGCAAATGCACAAATGTATAAAAGATGAACTTTCTTTTCTCTGTATTTCTTTCATTGCTTCCTTTTCTAGTCTTTCTTTCTTTTTCTTCTTTCTTTTCTTTTCTAATCTTTCTTTTCTTTCTTTCTATTCTTTCTTTTCGTTTCTTTCTTATTATTTTCTGTTCTTATTCTTTTCTTTCTTATTCTTATTCTTATACTTTTCTTTTCTTTCTTGTTCTTTTGCCGATCGGACTCGGTTGAGGCATGGATTTGGAACCTTAGCCGTGTGAGTGTATTATTCTTTCTTGGGTACAACCCTCATCCACATACACTCTTACGGACTGTACCAATTCTTCTTTCTTCTTCTTAGGTCGCTTACTAAAGGCGGCGTGCATGTGGAGAAAATTCTTCTTGTCATTCACGGTTCCCCATCGCAACAACCTTTTCTTATTTTTATCTTTTTACACTTCTTTAAATAAAATTCAGATTTGGAACTTCTTTAATATTCTCATTTCTTTCTATTTACTCTTTAACATTCTTTAGTGCTTTTTGATGCTTTTATGAATATGTATGCATGTAGATGGTTTCATACTTATAATTCTTTCTAAATTCACATGTTTAAATGCAATTATGCAATATGAAATGTAAACATGTCATTCTCTACCATCTACAAACTCATCTCAATATAACACATACTCATACTCATATAAACACTTCTCTTTGACATTTCATCAAACAACTTATGAGCACAAAACAACTCTAATTTGGCTACACTTCTTTCTCTTTTCTAAGCCACCAAAAATTGGGAATAAAACCCTCCATCTTTAATGCCAAATCTGCCCAAAATATACACTCCAAAATGTCCACTCCAATTCTTCCAAATTTCATCCAAACATTCATCAAACATCAAATACACTAACACAACTTCTCATGGATAAGTTATAATCATCATTCAACACTAAATCCATCAACAATTCTACATATAACACATATATATGCATAAAAGAAATTCTCTACATAACATAACTTAAATCATACTTAGGGTAGGATTTACTTACCTTATATGTGAGCAATCCAATCCTTTAAGAAACTTATTTGATCCAACTTTCTTCCTCTTAAATCCTATGAACACAAACCATCAAAATTCAATACTTTAAAAATTAAAACTCACATCTTAGTGCAAGGATCTTACCTAAAGATGCTTGGGATTGAAAATCCACTCAAAAGTACCTAAAATCTATGAATTTCCTTTGAAGAAGAATTGAAGAAATTGAGAGAATATGGAGGTGAAAGCGGCATGAAAATGGATGAAGAGTGGCTAGGGTTTCACTCTTCAATCCTTGATATAACATAAAATTATATATAATTTCCCATTTTGCCCTTACACTTTCTTAAAAAATCTATCTATGTCCCATAGTCAATTACCATAATGCTCTCATTTTTATTGCACTCTCCATGAAATTTTATCTCTTTTCACTCTCCACAATTTCAACTAATTTTGAGTGAAAAGACCATTTCACCCTTAATAAAAGTTTAAGGCATTTTCTTCACATATTCTCAAAATAACTTTAACAAAAAATCAACTAAAGGTATAAGAGCATAAATTAAATTACATGGACATTACAGCTATGCTCTCAGATCAAGCTCTTTATACTTTTTGATCGAACTATACTCTCAGATCAAGCTCTTCGTGCTTTCTAATTGAACTCTTCGCAATCTCAGATCGAGTTCTTTATGCTCTCTAATCAAGCTTCATATGCTCTCAGATCAAGCTCTTTATGCTCTCTGATTAATCTCATTAGCTCGCCTATTCGCTTGAGATCACATGTTCAAGATCTCTCAGATCTCTTAGATCGCGGCAAGCATAAATCAAGTTCTTCCATTCGAAACTGCAACCTATAGTGCAACAACCATTCAAATCAAAGACATGACTGAGGGGCTATTGTTGTGCGGTCAATCCGGAGAGGATAATTCCCTATTAGGAGAGAAAATATTTAGATTGGCTCAATTTGGAAGGAAGATATTCAGATTGACTTAGCCTCCAACTAAGGTAGCCGAAGATCATGCAACTTCCTAATCCTACGTATTTGAATCTTACCTCAACTCTATCATATAAATATGTGCTATATAAACCGATGACAACTTGTTTTTGGGGGCTAGGCAATTATTCTAAGCAAATTTTCCTAGGAATTATATTGTTCTTTGTAAGCTCTCACAACATATACAAAAAACATAGTAGATGTAGGCGGTTAACTTCGCCAAACCACTTTAAAAGTTCTCTCTGTCATTTACTTTCTGACGTTATTATTCACTCATCACTGATTACCCGTAATCACGCACACATCAATTCTAATCCCGACAAGGTCGATCGGATCTCGCTGGTTGATGCAGAATTCTGTATTAACACTTATAATTTGCAGCCAGCAAGGCAAAATCTAGCAGACCTGAAACTATATATATTTCAAAGACTTGTATATCCAACACTAAGCCCTGATGGAGCAAAATTTTTATTAATAGTTGTTGATTATGCTCAATCTCAATATATTTTGTTTAAACTGTGAGATAGTTTACAAGTCGACGAATTTGGGTCCAAGTCTTATATATGTTGAAGTCAAGGTTATTCCAGTGTAGGCCAGGAGATGAATCAATTGGTTTTAGTCAAGAGTCTAAAATGGGTATGTAATTGAATGTTCTCACAATTAAGTTATGAGATAGTTGAAAAGTACAACACTGGTTTCGGTCATCTTTATTAGCTTCAGAGTTAGATCAAGACTGTTCCGGTCTAGGAGAAAATTATAATGGTCGAAATGGGTGTGCCATGTTCGGTATTAACCTCCTTTTCCGTTGATTTTTAGTTTCAAGTCTTCTTATATTCATCACTGCGATATATTTTGTGGAATTATTGTCCAGCTTATCCTGCCGATAGAGGGATGATCCATTATGTATATATAAAGATTTTATAACTCCTTTTAGTTTCTAGAAGCAATTTTAAAGATTCAATATCTAAATAACATTAAAATTAAAATAATGCCTACGTTAAGATGATACAAATATATATTCGAAGGAAAAGTTACGAAGAGGACCAACTGATTATGTTTATGTAAACCGCGTGCGCTAACCTAATATAGTTGGCTTTTGGCGTACGCTTGGGTGTTTTCTTTTGGGCAGTATTATTAGATGCACTTGACACTTGTTGCCGTGTAGAATAATACATTTCCGTTGAAGAGAGGGCAAATATTCATTATTCAACAGTCTCTTAATTAGTTTTTGTTTTTTATTTGACTGGAGGGAGCTGCCCTCCATCACTTTTTCTATATCTGACTCAGTCAATTACATATTTAACCATCTCCTTCGAATTTATATATCTATGTAAATATATATAAAGTAGCAATCTCATCGCTCACAGCCACTTACATCGATCTCTTTAATTTCTGACCATGGCAGAAGCTAAATGGGAAGGCAAGGCCAGTGTTGAAATAGCAGGCTTAGCAGTAGATCAAGTATGGCCTTGTCTTGAAGATTATTGCAACTTACATAAGTGGTTTCCTTATCTTGATAAATGCGATCAAGTTGAGGGAGTTCCAGGAAAGCCTGGTTTAGTTCGCCATGTTTCATCAACTGCAAAAGCATCACCTGAGTCTGATGAGATGATCACCAGATGGGCCAACGAGAAGCTACTGATGATCGATGCCAACCAAAAGTGTTTTAGCTATGAGGTCACTGATAACAATATTGGATTCAACAACTATGTGGCCACAATCAAAGTGTTTCCAATCAATGCTGATGATCAACAAAAAGGCTGCATAGTCGAGTGGTCATTTGTAACTGACCCAGTTCCAGGCTGGAAGTTTGAAAATTTGCTTTCTAATTTTAATTATTGTCTCCAATACATGGGGAAGAAAATGGAGCAGACTTTTCTTTCAACCATGGAACCCTGAAAATTCTTCTAATAAGGTTAACCTGGGGACAAAAGGTTAACACAGCACTGCTGGCTGCTCATTAACTCATGAAGTTCTTGAAATTTAGAAATCGTGAACTCTTATTTAAGAAAATTTGGGCAATATATCTGTCACTACGATATTGTACCCTTTCCCTTTAAAATAGAGTTCTATTGAATACGTTTTTATGTATTGAAAACATTGTGTGATGTTTTATTATCAATGTTATTTAAATGTTTTCTATATATTTCTTGTTCATTTTATTGATCTTCTTTACATTTTCACATTCCCATAATTATAACTTTAGTTAATGTCAATTTATTGAAGTATACAAAACATGAACAATGGAGTTAGCCCGGCAGAGAGGAATTTACAACAATGAATAGGCAATAGAAAAAGCCAGGGATAAGACAAGCCCGAAAAGAAATAGATTAGAGTGATTCAACAAGGGCAAATAGAATACAGAGGCAGTAAATAGGTGATCAGGACAGAAAAAAAGAGTTGGGTTGAGGCAGCAATATTCATCATCAGCATGTTATAACAGGATTATGTATAATATTAAGGCCCTAATAAAGATCGATGTTTTGATTTCTCTGGTGTATAAGAGCTTATTAAAACTAGTGCACAGCCTCAAGAAATATAAAAAAGAACACTGTGAAAAATTTATTTTCTTGCACCTTGCCTTAACATGTTATGTTTATGTTGTAGAGTCGAGGAATAACTTATTCCCTGTTGCGTTGAGTCTAAGCGCGAAAGTGGCAGTTTGGAATATTTTTTCAAGAAGATATCAATCTACCACAATAAGAATTCACTACTCTACTCTACTAGCTCCAAGAGTTGTCTCTGACTCTCTGGATTAATGGAGCCAAAATGGGAAGGCAAGGTGTCTACAAAACTGACAAAAGCCAGAGTAGACCAGATATGGCCTCTTTTCTTAGACTTCTTCAACTTACATAAATGGTTTCCAAGTCTAGCCACCTGCTATGGCGTCCATGGAATCAACGGTCAGACTGGTTGCATCCGATACTGTTCTGGCTGTTCAATTTCACCTAGTGCCAGCAATGAAAACAACCCTCAAGCTAGCTGGTCCACAGAGAGATTAATAAGCGTTGATCATGTTCAACGCTGTTTGAGCTACGAAATAGTTGACAACAACATTGGGTTCAAGTCATATGTTTCAACGGTCAAGATTGTTCCAGAAGACAATGAAGGTGAAAATCAAAGTGGGTGTGTGATTGAGTGGGGATTCACAGTTGATCCAGTGGAAGGATGGGCATTGGATGATTTAGTGAAGAAGTATGATATGGGCCTACAGCGCACGGCTAAGAGAATGGAGGATGCATGCAATTCAAGTTTAGATAAGTAATTGACATTTCTTTTGTGGTTGTGTTGTAGTTTTTCATTAATCTAATATGTTTATTTTTATTTAATTTTGTTGAAGAAATTATGGAAAGAAAGAAAGAAATCAAATTGAGTAATTTTTTTGTTGGAGAATGATGCAATATTCATGGACAGCTGGGATCTCCATGACCATGTATTCACCATCCATGCATCAAACCCACGCCAGCTTTAATTATCTGCCAACTTATGTTACCGATAGAGAGAGACGATGACGGTGCCGTATGAATTTTTGTTTTAATTAATGAAATATTAAATTATTAATTAAACCAGTAATTTCATCCTGTTTTACATCTCTTTTTGTGGCGATGGAAGAAGATAAGTGGGAAGGGAAGGCGAGTGTTGAGGTAGAAAGGTTAACAGTAGACCAAGTATGGTGTTGCCTGGAGGATTTTTGCAACATACATAAGTGGTTTCCTCATCTCGATTCTTGCTACCAAGTAGAGGGAGAGGCAGGACATCCTGGCCTGGTTCGCTGTGTGGCCTCCACAAAACCCTCATCCAGATTTAATGAGGGCAGCACCAGCAACAACAGCAGCAGGTGGACAAAAGAGAAGCTTCTTATGATCAATCCCATTGATAAGTGTTTGAGCTATGAGGTTCTTGATAACAGCAATCGAGTTAAGTTCTACGTGGCCACTGTCAAACTATTTCCAGTTGATGTTGATTAGTATAAAGGTTGCATGATTGAGGGGTCATTCGTAGCCGATCCAAATGAAGGGTGGAGAGTGGAAGATTTTCTTTCCTACATTTATCGTACTGACATATTAATGGCAAAGAATGTGGAACAAGCTCTGCTTTCAACTCATTGAAATCGACTATATATGCATGTTATTATATAAATAGTTAATTAAACAAGTTATTCATTGTTTTTAATCGGAGTTCAACATGGCAAACAACTTTCAGCAATCGCCAGCCGGAGTGAAATCAAACCGATATAACAGTGTTTAAAGAAGTTCGGCACTGCTGCAAGAAGAGGGCAGTTACAAATTTTAAGATTGATTGCTGTGATTGTCCCAAGGTCAATACTGTTTCTGGTTTAAGCACAAGAGCCAAGGGTAGGATCCCGGCAGTAATGATAAACCGAAGCAAGCCATAAAAGTTTTGAAACATGCATTTCTACTACTTTTTTCTGTAGAAGAACAGAAGCCACTGTAATAAACTTGTAACAAATAATACACATTTAATTGATGGGATTGAGACCACCCCCAACACTGATCGTTTGACCAACTTATGTAATTACTCACCTGCCTGTTTCCCGACCCTTAAAAGCTCCAACTTCACAAATTTAAAAAACACTTCTATAAGATGAGTAGTTACCACAGACTATCAGCCTTCTCAATACTGACATCTAATCTCTTCTCCATCCAGTTAATTATATCCTGTGCTATCTCTTCACGCTCAGGTTCAAAAAGAAGGTCATGCAAGAAGCCCTCGTAAAGCTTTATGTCTTTAAATTTTGAAGCTGCCTCATTGTACAAATCCCGGGAGGCTAGAGGGTCTGTCACTTTGTCTGCAGTTCCATGTAGAACAAAGAATGGTACAGTCACAAACTTAAAGTTCCGAGTTAAGTACGAGGAAATGCGCAATATCTCATGGCCTGTTCGGACCCTTATGGGCCCTGTATAGACCAATGGATCAGAATACTTTGCCAATAGCGCAGCTGGATCCCTAGAAACTGGAATTCCTCTTTTGTTAGCACCTTTAAACTGGAATCTGGGAGCAACCAGAGAAACAATAGGGGCCATAGCCTGCAAAATCGTTTTGACCAAAAGAAGTTCTAATTAGTACAGCACAAAAATATATATGTATAACTTGTATATCACACTATTCATTGAGACAACTAAACATCAAATCATTTGTATAAACGGTCTATGAAAAGAAAAAATAGAACAACCACCTACCCCAACTATAGGATGTGCTGGCTTAACACGCAAAGCTGGTGAAGTCAGCACAATTCCCTCCAGCATTCCTCTAATGTGGGGACATGAAGCCGCCTACACAAGGACGCAACTTATCAACTCACAAATTCAAAAAAAAAAAACCAATGTGATCATAGGCTAGTTTTTGATCTGTCTATGTCTTACCTTCAGAACTACGGCTCCCCCAGTAGAATGACCAAATAGGAAGCACGGTACTCCAGGGTTTTCTGATTTGATTTTATCCAAGAAAGCCCCCTATTGAATCAGAAGATAGAGAGCTTTAATAATCACTTGGAGGTATAACTGAACATCTAACTTCTAGTTAAAACACCAAAGCAATGGAGTACAGCCAAGTAGCATTATTCCTAGATTCGTAATTGTTATAAACAAGTAATTGGACTCGGTTGCAAGTTCTTGGGTAGTTTCAATCTGAAGGTGCAGTTATGACAGGCAATGACCAGGAAATAATTAGTACAGGGGGTTAAAAAAAATTTAGGTATTCAGAGGTTCTGCCTAATCACTTTGACAGAAGCGCAGCATCAGTATACATAAAAAATTTGAACTTACAGTGTCCGCAACAACATGGTCAAGTGAAGGAACATATCCATGCAATCCATCGCTCCCACCATGACCTACACTTGAAAAACTCAATCAAATTTCATGATGTCAACCTAAAACTCCTATTCAAAAAGCTTATAGAGTGTATAAATTATATACCTATCCAGTCCATAGCATACACGCCAAAGCTGCTTGAAGTTAGTTGCCTCGCAAAATGCGAATATCTCCCACTGAAAATACAACAAACATTAAAATAAAGCAGAAATTTTTATATCTCTAAGACACATAAAAAATGGACTATTCTACGAGCTGTGACAAAAAAAATAAGATGCAAAACAGACAAAATGCCTCCAAAAGGAGATCATATAAAATTACCTGTGCTCGTTGAGCCCATGTATAATGATCAAAATGCCCCTGAAAGAAGAAAGCAATTGAACATGGAATAAGCATAAAGAGCAACAGAAAAAGGCAGCAGCGAGTAATAAATTAACTGTACATGCTAAAGTTAAGTGGAATTTTATCAACGAAAAAATTAAAAAATAATAAGAGAGAACCATTTGGCACCAGTAAACATTAATCCATTCGTATGGAGTAACCTCTAGAGCCACAAAGTTTTATTGGAAATAGCAAGTTAGATTGCACACTTTACCCACAGTAGCCAAGTAAAGAAACAGACATTTGCAACAATAAATTTCGTAAAATTGAAGAATAGCGTGGTAAACCAAAACACAAGTTACACTTTCGACAAAAAGTTGAGATACAAATAAAAATCAAATGATATTCTAATACGGCACATCGGAAGCGTATCGAACCATAGCGCTAAAAGATACTCAACCTAGAAAATTTTCTATAACATTTCTGATTATTCAATTATATACATTATCCAGTTATCAGAGATAATATTCTCTTATCACAAATCATAAACTTCACTTACGATTTAAATTTGTCTTCAAAAACAAATCACAACAAAACAAATTCAAGAACTTTGATTTTCTTTAACAAAACCAGGATAAATAATTATGCTAAAACTTATTTTTTTAGGAGACGGACGATCACATGACACGACATTAAAAATTGAAAGTCAAAACCACCATTCAAAGTCAAATGAAATAATAATAAAAAACAAAAATCTTACTTCAATTCACCGGTAACCGGGAACCAGGACCGGAAAAACAAAGCATTTTTTCTAACACCAAAGAAGAGAGAGCTACTACAGCTGCAATGGACGTTCCCATCATCAGTTTCGAATCCCATGTTTAAATCCTCAGCCAACGCTCTTCTTCTCAAGGTGTCCTCCTCCTCTAGTCTCGACATCAACCTCCGCTTCCAACTCTTTGAAGCAGATTGCGGCGCACCAGCCGCCGAGCACCGCCGTGGCCGCAGGAGGAGGACGAAAGCGAAAATGACCGATTGGATGAAAATTAGAAAGGTTCTTAGGGTTTTAAGGATGGGGATTATACGATTGCTGGCCCCTGATGTCAGTTGATCCATCTCGGCCGCCGACATGCCGGCAATGGACGGACAAGATTTAAAATAAATAAAAAAAAGGAGCTATAGAAATGAATACGTTTCGTAAACACAAGAAAAGAGGGGAGCGAGAGACTTGAGGAAGGCTTGAGGCGTATTTATATGGTGGAAATTTGAATTTTCTATGAAGAGAGAGAAATGATTAGCTGTATTGGAGTAATGGTACCTAATGTCGTGGTGTAACGTTGATGGTGTGATGTTCAACTGGAAGATGGAGATGGGTTATCTGTTTTAAAGATGGACGGTTATGATGGATGAGTGTATGGCATTTATTATGTATGGTATGATTTATAGAGTAGATAGGCGTTGGGAAGCACAAGTAAAGCCTTCCTTCAAAGTCATATGATGTACAAGTTGTATGAATTTTGGATCACCGATTTAACCGAACAGGGCCCACACCAGTTGACGTGAATTATATATTATTTATTTTATCATTTTATGTTACGGTTATGGACTATCTCAACAACGCGGAAAACATTTATACATATATTATTTTATGCAAATTAAGTAATATATCAATCATAGCCGAGTCGCTTAGGTAATGGCCAGGGTAGGTGACGAAAAAGATTCGGAGAATCAAGTGAAGTGTAGATTCAATCGAAGCAAGACGTTCATTTCTAGCCGCACAAACCTCTTTGTTATCGTTACTATGATTCCTCCACGTGGTGCTATTGCCCCGCGAATTTTGCGGACATAATGAGGTAAATCAACTTGACTTATATTATATGTAACGTACTAACGTGATAAGCCGGTGAACAAAATTAGCGTACCGTTCATTATAATAATCGAGAAATAAGAGATAACTTCAGGCAAGTTTCTTTTCAATAAAAATCTCGAATTCCAAGCAGTTTGTAATATATAAGAGGATATGATTAGATAAGGTGCCACCCCATTTCTTTTGTTGGGAATCTGATCAACATAATAATTGATAAGGAATAAACAAATATTGGACATTCATGTGGTAAGTTGAAAATGAAAAGGCAAAGAAGAAATGTTTTGTTATTGCAGTAGCGTATATGATTGGAGTAAACTGAGGAAATTATAATTAATATTTTACCAAATCTTTCCTTGAGACTGAGCAATTAATTAATTAAAATAAACGAAGGATTTGGTAAAGAGATTAGATATGGAGTGAAAGTGAAAGATGCTTAAAGGGACTGGACCAGGACCAGGACCACCAAAGACATGCGATTATGGTCTTTCTCTACTTTTGACTTACTCTTTCTTTCCAATCAATGCCGGGTGAAAACTTTTTTTGTTTTAATTTATTTCAGAAATTGATTATTGGGTGGAGCCATGGAGGCAACTGGTCCGTTATTTCAAAATTCAAATCAATGAACAGAGTGTAGGCCCAAGAAATTGACTTCTTTCATCATCATGTTTGAGGCCTCTGGGCCATTACAATAGAGCGTGTTATTTCGATTTTGAAATTAAGTTTGATGATTTTTTTCAGTTTTTAAATTGGGTGGAGCTCTTCACACCAACTANTTCAAATCAATGAACAGAGTGTAGGCCCAAGAAATTGACTTCTTTCATCATCATGTTTGAGGCCTCTGGGCCATTACAATAGAGCGTGTTATTTCGATTTTGAAATTAAGTTTGATGATTTTTTTCAGTTTTTAAATTGGGTGGAGCTCTTCACACCAACTAAATTTCTTAAGACACTCTATTTTAAAGTTTTAAAATTTTTTTTTTTTTCTTACGACACCCCATAAATTCCATGAATGCCTTCTATTTCATTTTTTTTTTATATTTAAAAAAATTAACATTTCATTACTTTCATGTATGTTATATACCTCCTACCATCATTATTCCTAAAATAATTTTTTTTTATAATTAAATTGAAAGTTTAGAAAAAATTAAAGCTAAAAAAATCCTTACAAATAATCCCATACACTTAAAAAACACAAAAAATTATATAGATCAAAATAGCTACCAATAGTTTGAAGAAAAAAATAACAATAAATTTATATGAGAAGGAATAAAAATTTACAATTTTGTACTACTTTTAATCTGATATATCCTACTGCAAATCTTTTTCCTCTATTAAATTATATTTTTGTTATAAGAATGATTTGAATAACATAAAAAAAAAATTATGAGATAATAGTGGGGTGTCAAAATATTTGTAAAGAATATGAAATTAAAGTTAATTTTAATAATTAAATTTAGGGATAAATTTGTCATTGTAAAATTTATTAACAAGTGGAGCTTCTTTAGTCATTAGTGGGTGCTAATAGATCCACTCAATTATGTTTATTTGTTGAACGAGAAGTGATTTTTAGCCCTCCATATTATTGATCAATACCCCCGTTACTAAGTACAACTCAATTATATTTAAATGAATCTCTTTAAACCCCATTTAATACAAAAAAAATTAAAAAAAATAACATTTTAAGTTTAATTGGGTTTTCTATCTATCCCATTTCTAGTAATATTTATTAAGGCTAAAATTTTTAATAGAAATAAATATTTAAAAATAGGGATATTGATTATTGGTCAATTAGATAGAGCTTAAAATCAGTTCCCTTGTTAAATAAGTAAAAAAAATTGGAGTTTTATGTGAATAAAAAAACATCTTAGTTATTAATTAATACTTTTCTCAATAATACATCTATTAATTCTATTTAATTTAAAGTCTAATACCTCTATTAAATTTGTTTAAGTTTATATTTAATATAGCTCTTCTCCTCTGTATTTTCTTTGCATTATTTTCATAACAACTGTCGGAATTATTAAAAAGGAAATTTATATTTCAAGTAAATCACTAATTTATTTTTTGGTTGTATTTCTTGATTATCAGTAAATTTAAACTACTTGTCCACTTCTTTTTAATTAATTTATTTATTTGCACTATTAAATTAATAATACTACTTTCTCTTGTTCCATGATATGATACCATTCATTTCCCTTATTTATGAATCACTGTCCCCTTCCCACATCTCTTTTATCTCATTACCCTCATTTATCTAACAAAACTCTTCTAGTTTACTTGTTCCAGCAGCAAAAGCAGTGTAGTGAGCTTATATTATATGTTTATATATTTTCTGATCACAGGATTCATGCAAATAGAAGCTCAAATCAAAGGTGGAGTGATGATTAATTGATATGCTTTTCGTAATTGTGCGGTGCAGTACAGACATGCCATATATGGCGGAAATTATGGGTCGGTTTATACATAAAGTGGGAAACCTTAGAGAATGATTGTAAAACAGAGAACATTATAGTTATATATGTGGGTCATGGCTGCCTGCCACCTATATATAAAATTTAGGAATAATTTCATCTAACCTAGTTTAATTATGATATGTTGGAGGATACTCAATAAATTTTTCAATTTCTCCAATCTTTATAAGCCTCGATCCTAATATCTTCTTACGGTAATTATAGTCCTTAATGTGAGACTTTTAAGACTCATTGTTAATACTGTTAACAATCAACCAACTAGGTGATCGAATAAAAAAATTTGATAACCACTGAAAGATTACTCGACTGTTAATTAAATTCAGGGCTTCAGCCTCAAAAAGCACTTAGATTTCTAATTTCATCCCTAATATGTATTGATATTGATGCACTAGCTTTGCAGTGGTATAAGTAATAAATCTTCAACAAGTAATAAAACTATCTACTTATGTATTTGTTGTTAGAAGTGTATCTTGAATCTCCTCATAATATGTAGAAAAACGAGGAGCAGCTCATCCTATTTGATCAACAAGAAGAGAAAATCAAAATGCTTAAAGAACAACATATTCAAATGTTGGAGATGCTGAAGCAGATCACTATAGCAGCTACACACATCCAACCAGCTAGAGCTCCAACTTGACTGCCATCTCCATCTCCAACTGATGAAGAGTCTTCCCCATCTGCTACAGCTGCTTCTAGAACCTCAACTAGTGACACTTGAGATGCTAACATTGATAGTTTGTTTTTTATTATATGGGCAGTAGATATTTTGACATGTGGGTAAGACCATCTTTTTGGACTTTTTAGGATTGCTTGCATATATCCTTAGATGGTGTATATGGGATGGGCATTTTGTTTGTTAGAGTTATACACAAATAGATAGGTACTAATGAAAATGTGAGATGCATGCATTCTTTTTCGGTTATGCACACATGATAGTGCCTTTTTTTATTTTTATTGCTCATCTATATATATATATATATATATTTGATGCTATTGATCAGATTTTTATATTGTGCCACAATTATTTTATTGATGTTGAATGTATAAACAATGTCATTCACAAAGAGCAAAATTAATGCTCTTAAATATTAACCAATTAGCTACTAAAGTATTAGTTGCAGAAATAATACATCAGCCAAGACTAATCAATAATACCGGACTAAAATAATTAGTTTCCAAAACTCATATACAATTGGTTACTATATTATTTAGATGCAAAAATTAATTTTAATGACTAAATCATTAGTTACAAAATGTAAGAAACCAAATTGGGTATATACATTTCCCAATTAATAACAAAATGTTTTTGCCGGTAATTATTTTCTCATAAAAAACACATTCTGCATTAATTTCATTGTAGCAGAAAGTAATTTACCATATTTAGATTCCACTTTTTGCGTTTAAAATTATTGGAATTAACCACAAATTTTTTGTCACTAAAAGATACATTCATCAACTAATTGAATAATCGCGAAACATTTTTACAAAATTACCTTTTCACCTTTAATGTCTAATTTTTGTGGCATTCGCGACTAATTATTAGTCACTAAAAGGAACATTCTTCAACTAATTGATTAGTCGTGATACAATTTTACCAAATTATCTTTACACATTTAGTGTCTAAGTCAGAGGATTATTTCAATAAGTAATTGGTAACTAATTTGCTAGTCGCTAAAAAAAATTTCCGCATCTAACCTACTATTTAGACATCTATACTTTTTGCGATAGCAATTCTGCAACTACATGACGACTATGAAATTTAGTCGTGTAAGACATTTAGCGTCTAAGTTTGCTAGACACTAAAAGTCATTTTTCTTGTAGTGTATATATATATGCGCATTAAAGTTTTTTTTTTCCTGACGTGCTGGAATATGCCCTTTAGAAACTGAAAGCTAGAAGGTTTGTTCAACTTAATTAATGGTTGTCGCTCTGCCTTGCTACTGCCTTTCTATCCTTAATTAACTAAACAGAAGCCACACACATATAAGCTTCTTTTTTTTTACTTCTTTTCTACAGGAAACATGTGAATAAATGCCTTTACAAATTTTGTTTCTTTTTATCTAATGACTCAAAAGGTTGGATAAGTATCTTGTGATATCTTTGAGTTCTTTGTATATATCGATCTGTTTGTTGTTTCAGGGCAAACTCAACCGAGAACCAAGTATTTATTTCCTGATTTGCTTTTAAGTTTTTAACCGAAAATATAAGGGTAACTTATTAAATACTAAACTTATGTGGTTGCAATAGTCCATCCCGTGAATGTTCATGATTTTTTTTTTTTTTTTTCTTTTATAATGTTTTAAAGTAATGAAAAGATAAAAAAGAAACCTCATTAGAATCAATTTTTTCTTTTTTCAATTACTACTGTATCGTTTCCTAAAACCCATGAATTAATATGAAAATTGTTTTTTTTTTAATAGAAAAAAAATCTTCCACTATCTTCATGAAAAGTCTAGCTTATTCAGGACCTCCCTGTCTCATACGTTAATGGTTGACGTGCTACTTCGCCTAGTCCACAAACATCTCCTCTTCGGGCTTCTCGAGAAAATAGAGTACCTGTATATATATAAGTCAATGTTGCATACATCTAATCTACACAGAAAATTCAGATCATTGATATTTCTCAACTTCTTTCCTTGTCTTACTTCAACTTCTCTTACTGTAGAGCTTGAACTAATTGACTCTCCCTCTTCATTCCCATCAGGGATTTAAACAACATCCATGGCACCAAATACCAAGGAAACCATTGTGTCAAACCCTAACAATTCCAACAAAGTCGTCCACTCCAAGCCCCGACTTCCAATAGAAAACCTCCAAAGAACAAAATCCGATATCTCATCTGAGCTAACCAAATTAGCTATTGACCCAAAGTCGCTTCCAAGCATTACGGAGGTCGAGGATGCAAAGTGTGAGTGCTGTGGCATGTCTGAAGAGTGCACAACCGAGTACGTAAATCGTGTACGAGAGAAGTTTTCAGGAAAAATGATTTGTGGGTTGTGTGCAGAAGCTGTAAAGGAAGAAATGGAGAAGAATGGAGGAAAAAGCGAAGAGGCTTTGAACGAGCACATGAGTGCTTGTGTAAGGTTTAATAGATTTGGTAGGACAAATCCGGTACTGTACCAAGCTGAGGCGATGAGAGAGATCTTAAGGAATTCAAAAATTAGGGCTAAGTCCATCAGCCCTAGGATTAAGGGTGGCCAAAAGAAGGGTGCAATTACAAGGAGCTCCAGTTGTATACCAGCACTCACCAAGGACTGGTCCATCGAGATACCAAAATAATTATGAATTTCTTTTGCTACGTATGATTGCTCTTATTGCTTCCGATACTTGTAATCTATCCTAACCAGTTGCTTTACAAATATAATACAATAGCTATATATGTATACATACTTTTTTTGTTCACACTTCGATTAATCCTCAAGGGAAGCTATTCTGTGACAATAGATTATTGTGGGATAGCTTTCTCTGAGAATTAGTCTCAGTTAACAAAAAAAAAAAAAGGCGCGCATATATATATATACACTAGGATTTGTTTCATATAAACAGTGTCTCTTTTCCGTGTGTTCTAACTATTGTTCTTCCTATTATTCTTCAACAGGAAACTAGGCTTAATTGTTAAAGTTAATATCTAAGAAGACATATGGATTATATGATTGATAGCTAACAGCTAATTGTATGTAAACTATTACGTAAATGTACATAAACTTTATGTAAATAAATGTACAGTACTTGAACTAATTTATTTATGTGATGAATTAAATGAGTAGTATTGTCCATGAAATATTGGTGCGCTTCTTTTTGAGTAATTTAAACTGGCCGATTTTAATTTGTACGGTGACAATTCAGAAACGAGCCACAGCAGTGATATAATTTAACTATCACGAGGATTTAGAATTGAAGCATGATGACTTTTTAAGTAAATTAACTATATACTGTGTACTGATATTATATCAATGAAATGAAATTATGTGGAACACAACTCATGCGCACAGAGAGCAATCCTTACGCCTTTCCATGGTTTCAGGTGAAATTATGCAATTTGAGCCAAATAACCCTTTGTGTGTTCTACTTGTGTTCATTTAAGCGAGCAATCCTGTGTTAGTTCACTCTTTTACTTATTTTTATATGTTCTGGCTCCTCCGAAGGTTTTTCATCAAGTAGAATTGTACAATAAGTTTTGTGCTAAAAAGCTTTAAACATGCTTAAAAAACTTTAAACATCTTAATTTAGTGTATATAGTGTGACAAGTTGATTGAAAATGATATTATAACAACATGTTGGGTATAATATGCACTGAAATATTTATTCAAATAACTTTTATTATGGTTTAATTTTTGTTTTTGTATTAGAATTATAAATTTTCATTAGTAATTTTTCTTGTAACTTACGAAGAAGAGTATATTTATATTTTATAATAAGCTGGTTTTAATTTAATATTTAATATTTTTTATAATAATCCGGTTAATAAAACCAGTTTTGCTTAACTGTTTCTCATATTCTCCCAAACCGGTAATTGAACTAAAAATTCGGTTTTTTTCTTTGAACTGAAACTGAACCGGTTTTTTTGAATAATCGAAAATTCGGTTCGGTTTGGTTTATGTATTTTTTTGAACATCTCTAAACAAAACTATGTGTTGTAGAGATTTATATATTGAGTGAAGTGGAGTATTTGTGAGAAAATTTGCAAAATTTAAAGGGATTTGTTATAACCAATGCCACATCCAAAACCTAAACAGATTGCGTGAAGAAAACAACAGAATATACACACAAGAATGCCAAGATATACAGTGGTTTACTTGCTCAAATTTGAGCAAGCTACGTCTACATTGAGCTCGGAAAACAAGCGAGCTTGCAGCACTACTATTATCAAGAATTTAATACAAATTACACACACAGTATATCAACTTCCCAATCTTCAATAATCCTATAACTAACCCTAAAGACCCTCTCCTTGGAATTCCTAATGATCTATCCCTTTTAGGATCAGAGTCATTTTTAGGAACTCATCTAGATTTTCTTCTATACTTTTAGAATTATTCATTTTATAAAAAAATAAAGTACCCTTTAAAAAAGCCAGGTTAGGAGCAGATTGCAGTGCATATAAGGAATTAAGCTTACCCCATAACATAGGCAGTGTTTCGATTCCGTCTACCTTTCTGAGAACGCTATCTGAGAGGTTCATGACCATCAAGTTGTAAGCTTCTTCATCAATTTCCTCCTTCTTCTTTAACTTCTCCTCCAGCCACTTCTTAAGGTCACTTTCTAGTGCGAGAGCCACCTTGTTATGAGAGAGTAGCGCTTTCATTTTTTTCTTCTAACTCCCAAAGTCAATCTTCCCACCATATTGGGAGATCTCCATTCAGGTGGTGGTGTTTGTCATGGTAAAGTGTTTGGTTTGATATGGTGAGATGGCAAGTTCCAGAACTCAAGACTGGTCTTGAATTTCAAGAATCATAGAAACCCTAGATTTCTTCCCTTTATGAAATCTACACTAATTCGCTCAAAAGCTATACACTATGGACTCCTAATTAGATAAGGAAACCCAAAGATTGAGAAAGCCCCAAAATTTTTCGACACTCTAGAAAACCCTAGAAATTTCAAATTTAATTTGAGACCCCAATTTCCCCAAATGTTGTTACCAATGCTCTGATACCACTGTTATAACCAATGCCACATCCAAAACCTAAACAGATTGCGTGAAGAAAACAACAAAATACACACACAAGGAAGCCAAGATTTACCGCGGTTCACTTGCTCAAATTTGAGCAAGCTATGTCTACATTGAGCTCGGGAAACAAGCGAGCTCATTGCACTACTATTGATCAAGAATTCAATACAGATTACACACACAGTATATCAACTTCTCAATCTTCAATAATCCTATAACTAACCCTAAAGACCCTTCCTTGGAATCCCTAATGATCTATGTGTACAACCACACCCGAATGACTTGAAAACCAGTCACTCAACACCAGTTACAAGATACAACAAGCAAATCCCAGAAATCCTAACAAACCCAATTTGCTCGACAGAGAAGAAAAGAGAGAAAAAATTGTTGTAGTAGAAATCTGCTCTTTTGTGTGCTTTTATATGGTTGACCAAGGAGACTGACTTCAGCTATTGGATCTTTAGTCAATCAATGCTCAAAATTAGCTCTCCCTTTGCCCAAAACAACATCGCTTCATTAAGACACAAAACGTCACGGCTTCAAGCCTTCACTACAACAAGATCAATCTAATAGATTTTGAGTAGACATATGTAAAATTTAAAATTCTAGAATATCATTTTAATATATCAAGTATTTTTGTGCTAAATTTTGCAAAATCTTTAAAAACTCAATTGAATCCTTGCATATGTTTTATACTCAATAGTCAATACCATTGAGCTAATGCAAAATCAGTAAAACTCAATCGAATTTGCGCATATGTTTTATACTCGATGCCATTGAGCTAGTGCAATTAATTGAGTAAAATCTAATACGATCAAATAAGAGTTAATGACTTTTTCCCACCCAAATGATGGCTTAATGAACTTTTCCACTCATAGACTTTTAAAATGCTACTTTATTATCTAAATTTATATTTCAGCGGCGAACAAATAACAATTTCGGTCCAAGTTGTTGGGGCATTTGAAGAGGAAAGACCGATGAGTCTCTTAGTGGTGAAATGTTAGATTTTGATGGTTGACATTGATTAGAATTTGACTTGGAAATGGCAGTTGCGCAAACCCTAATAGCTCGATTGCTGACGATTGGTGGAGTTGACCGGAGTAGGGTTTGAGGGGTTTTGGTGAGTGATGATCAAGGAAAAGAATAGTGATGGTGTGGCGTCGCAACAATGCCGGAATCGAAAATAGAATATAATTTTGAATAATAAAATAGTATTTTAAAAATCTGTTGGTAAAAAAGCGTCATTAAACCATTATTTGAGGGGAAAAAAATCGCTTACTCATCAAATAAACATGCCATGCTTACAAATGCAGTTGTACCCTAAACACAAAAATCGTTCTTTGAGCCTTCATAAAATTCAAAGCCACGATACAATATTCCTTTTACACGTTTAAATTTAGTCAAAATTCATAGCTTGTATTAACTATTTAGCCTCAACAATATAAATATTTTCCTTCTCGCATTTTAGTTCCCTCCTACAGCTTTAAATTAATTATGGGCAGCTCACTAATATGAATTATTTGTTCTTTAAAGAAATGGGATATGCCGAGTATGGGCCGAGCTTATGGTCTTTACGTTCTAAAACGACCCAGCAGTCTGTATTTATTTATTTTTTTAAACCCTCTTTTATCAATATCAAAAGCTTACAAGAACAAGAAGTCATCACATTCTAGATTTGTCGTAATGATAATAAAACGATAAGAATCTTGCAAACAGTCGTAATTTATCTTGTTGAACTTGAAGGCACACATGAAATAGCAAGCATCACGAACCATATGACGATCAACTTGAGAGAGTAGGACAGAGTTTAGGGACCATCCTAATTTTCTTTTTCCCACATTATTTCTGCTAAGATATCATTATCCATGCAGTTATGGTTCACATCTTCATCAGAAAATATTAATGTTTCATTGCATCGATCATATTATATATATAAAACTTTTTGTTATAAATCCCGGCTGATCCAGGAAAGCTACTCCATTTAACAAGATCATATATAGAATATAATGATCATATATCTGATTTTGAAGATTAATTGTGATGATTGATCCACACACACACACACACACACACACACACACACACATATATATATATATATATATATATATATTGCAGAGCTTAGAAACTAGCTAGCAAACATTGAACCGCAAACCTGTTACACTGATGGGGCTCGTGAATCCTCACGAGGTTAAAATCCCCATAGCTTTTAAGGGCACACATGCATGGCCTCATTAGCTTTAAATTTTTAATAACATACGTGCATGATCTTTTCCCATACCATCTCTATCACTTCCCTCTTGCTATACTGTTTGCAGCACACATGCTCCTAGTGGTGCAATTTGGTCATTGATGGAGATCAAAATCAGCTCTTATCTTCAGATCTTCTGCCTGTAAAGTGCTCTTTCTGCGTTAAGATAGATAGGCCTTTATATATATATATATATATATATATAGAATTATACTTCTGACGGATACAATAACTCCACTCTTCTTTCTCATGATTATTGCTGATATCGGTTACTTAAATGAAAATCCTATCTTGACCTAATAACGTTCATTTGATATCTTATTTGTATAAGATTGGATACAGTACACGCAACTGGNCAATATAAATATTTTCCTTCTCGCATTTTAGTTCCCTCCTACAGCTTTAAATTAATTATGGGCAGCTCACTAATATGAATTATTTGTTCTTTAAAGAAATGGGATATGCCGAGTATGGGCCGAGCTTATGGTCTTTACGTTCTAAAACGACCCAGCAGTCTGTATTTATTTATTTTTTTAAACCCTCTTTTATCAATATCAAAAGCTTACAAGAACAAGAAGTCATCACATTCTAGATTTGTCGTAATGATAATAAAACGATAAGAATCTTGCAAACAGTCGTAATTTATCTTGTTGAACTTGAAGGCACACATGAAATAGCAAGCATCACGAACCATATGACGATCAACTTGAGAGAGTAGGACAGAGTTTAGGGACCATCCTAATTTTCTTTTTCCCACATTATTTCTGCTAAGATATCAGTATCCATGCAGTTATGGTTCACATCTTCATCAGAAAATATTAATGTTGCATTGCATCGATCATATTATATATATAAAACTTTTTGTTATAAATCCCGGCTCATCCAGGAAAGCTACTCCATTTAACAAGATCATATATAGAATATAATGATCATATATCTGATTTTGAAGATTAATTGTGATGATTGATCCACACACACACACACACACACACACACACACACACATATATATATATATATATATATATATATTGCAGAGCTTAGAAACTAGCTAGCAAACATTGAACCGCAAACCTGTTACACTGATGGGGCTCGTGAATCCTCACGAGGTTAAAATCCCCATAGCTTTTAAGGGCACACATGCATGGCCTCATTAGCTTTAAATTTTTAATAACATACGTGCATGATCTTTTCCCATACCATCTCTATCACTTCCCTCTTGCTATACTATTTGCAGCACACATGCTCCTAGTGGTGCAATTTGGTCATTGATGGAGATCAAAATCAGCTCTTATCTTCAGATCTTCTGCCTGTAAAGTGCTCTTTCTGCGTTAAGATAGATAGGCCTTTATATATATATATATATATAGAATTATACTTCTGACGGATACAATAACTCCACTCTTCTTTCTCATGATTATTGCTGATATCGGTTACTTAAATGAAAATCCTATCTTGACCTAATAACGTTCATTTGATATCTTATTTGTATAAGATTGGATACAGTACACGCAACTGGAAGCATTATACAGTTATGCACTCTGCCATGGTATATAGTATTTTAATTAGTATTGCTATATTGATTGAATTCACTTGTTCTATCATTTCTAACGCTCACTCTTTCTGTCCAGAACGAGCCAAGGCTTCGGAAAGCGGTGTCTGATATTGTCTCTGAAATTGATAGGTACAAAGCATTGGAGGATCTTTCTTCTATTGATGAAGTCACTCAAGCAGAATGTGAATGCTGTGGACTTAAAGAGGATTGCACCGAACATTACATCACCAAAGTTAAGGGCTCTCATTCTGGTAGATGGGTATGCGGGCTTTGTTGCGAAGCTGTTAAAGAAAATCTGGTGCGAACTCCCAAAACAGCCATGGAAGAAGCTGTGAGTTCTCACAGGGATTTTTGCCAAAAGTTCAACACTAATAGATTAAACCCAAAGCTTTCACTTACTTCGGTAATGAGGAATATAGCGAAAAGAAATTATGAGAATAGAAACGCCAACAACTTGTCAAACTCAAAGCTGGCTCGAAGTACTAGCTGTGTTCCAAGGATCGACCTTAATTAACGAGGTTGTTTTCTGCCAAACAGGCATGTTGACCTTTAGGACTTAATTTCATACCAGCAATTGCTAAGTCCGTATTATTATTTTCTTATAAAATAACATAAACAAAGTCTTTTAATTCTCATAAAATAATCAATCTAAAGTCTTCTTATTTTCTCACAAAATATATTAATCTACCAATTAATTAAATTAGCTGGTAATAAACGATGATTATACTCTATAAATGAAGATTTTTTTTTTTTTTTCCCTTAATCTTTTTATCTTCACCTGTAGTTTATGATTTCTTTTATTCGATTTGATCCCAAAATTTTATCCAGAAAAAAAAAAAAATACAATTAATCAATGTGTTAATGCAATGAAACTCTGTGCCTGCTTTATTTTGGCAATTTCTTGTGACTGTCTGGAATTCTATACCATCGGGCTATTGGCTATGAACATATATAGGCAGCACACAGCTCCATTATAGAGGTGAAGTTAGTATTAATTTTATGATTTTCAACCGAATGGAGCTGTTCTTGAGCACCGGGCCAGGTCTAAGTCTCTAAGAGATTTATTGGCATAGGTTGGTCGTTTCGGGTTAGCTGGAAAGTAACTACTACTACTGAAGAGGTTAATGTATTTGATAAAATTTTTCTTCAGTATTCACCCTATGAAATCAAGAGATAAAGCCCCAGATGAACTAAAAAAGAATATCTTAACACTCAGATTTATATATACTTGCCATTTAAAATTAGAACTCAATCAAAATCTCTTCAGCACTTGGTTTATATACAAGTATAAAGATTAGTAGAATTACCGATTACGACGACGACAGGTTTCAAGTGAGACATGATCAGTTTCAGGCTTTCAATATTAGAATAGAAATAGTCTAAAGATTGGGCCGAGTAAATCATATAGCCACATTTGCGGTCCAATTGAATGAATATGGTGTTGTGTACATAATATTAACATCATGGCTTACGGCTTTGTATAGTTGTGGTCCTTAATTATTTAATAATGTATTAGAATTTAGAATGCAGGATTCAATGTTTATCATCGAGTGCAGATGCAATAATTGCAAAATGGACCCAAGTTCCGAATCCCCAAATCTTTTTACTAATTTAATTAACCAATTAGACTACCCCAAATTGGTGCAAAAACTCATATAGCATGCAGTTAAGTTGCACACGTGCAATATATAGACTAAACTTTTGCATTTAAAATGGACTTTCCATCTTGAAAGCGACACTGTAGTGCTAATTAACTAGGGCTCTCCGCACCAATACTTAGCCTTTGCCTTTGAGCGCAGTTAACATGGTGATGGATTGGTTAGTGAGTTGGCCAATTAACCCTTACCGTTAACTGTATCAAATGATCAAATATCAATTCTTCTGGACTACTGATCATGATCAGACGGTAGATTGAATGTATTTCCTGAACCTTGGAATTTATTTAGAAGTTTTTGTCTAAAAAAAAATTGAAAACCTTGCTAGATACATTGACCTGCAAATATATCTAAGAAAGATGAAGAGAACGTGAAATGATTAGGTTGCTGAATCAGATGACTGCAAAAGTAAACAATGAAGCCAGATTTTTCTTACGTTCAGCAGAGTATATAATTCATATATATATAAATGTAGTGGGCGCACAATATAGAATCCCGCAGTACTGCAGAAACCATTAAAGTATTTATGTAAGAATACAGTGTATTCAAAATCAATCATTCATCAATTGTTGTACAAGAAGAATAAAAAAAGGCTAGAGCAAACAACCAGTAGTGGCCGCATGCCACAAGTCGACTCCTCACTTTTTCTCTATAATTCCCCTATGTGTTCATATATATATTTATAAGGATTTGGTGCAATCTTCATCAACAAATGAGAACGAATGAGTTTGATGGGTTTCATGTGCATGGTGGTAATGAAGAGATAATTGACTATGGTTCTGTCCCTTTTTGAAGATGTTAAAAAGCCACAACTTTGAATCAATTAATGCATGACACCAGTTACGCCATGTGAGGCTCAATTTGGCTCACTAACCTAGCTAATATCAACCGATGTTACAATCTGAGTGGACCCTGACGCCCGACATTTAAAGATCAATAATTCATTGAAAGTTTTTTCTTTCAGAAAAGAAACATATAAGGGAGTGCATGCATACCGATGCTCCTGTTAATAGTCCGATCTCAACTAATTTTATAAGTAGATTTTTTTTAAAAAGAAGTTTAAAGCTTACTGATTGATCTGGGCCACTAACTAAGAACACAAAAACCCTACAAATTTCAAAAGAGATAGAGACCCTCATTCAAGGGAAATGGGTCGGCAATACGTCAGTCATACCTCATTGCATTAACAGGAAAAAGAGAATATTAATTAAGGAAATAATATGAAGAGATCAGGAAAAGTATAAAATGAAAAGTGTGATATTAATTAGTATAAGTACAATGGAAGCGCTAACCCTAGTTTTGGACGGTAATGCTCTTTACAGCATATTTATTTGCATCCATAAATAAACTTTGTAATACAATCTTTAGGATGAAATGAATCCGCCTAGCTAGCTCGACAAATCGCATATACTAATTGTATTAGTTTATAAAATTCATTTAAGAGTGGGAATAATCTATCGTGACATATAAAATATTTGGTTCTGATAGATATGGCACATCATGAGCAGTGGATGACAGAACGTTCATTTGACAAAAATTTGGCATGATATAAAATGATCAACCCTTGTCGTCAATCAAGTTCAATTAGTCAAATTAATTACACAATTTTGTTTATTAAATGTCGTTGAACAAATAGAATTTGTCCAAGTTTAATTTAACTTATATGTCCAACCATATTAATGTCAACTCATCCTCTTCCGTTGCTATAAAATTTGTTTTGCTCGTTGTTTTTGAGAATAGTTTAGCTATAAATCCAAACTTACACGTTATAAAATATATATTATGTTCCCAAGAATAATATATACATTACAACTCTTTGACTTTGAATATGTACGAAAAATAATTTTCAAAATATGTTTTATGCAAACAATTCTTAACCAATCAAAAATTATATTACAATTTCAGCTATGCAAGCTTGTGTATTATTATCCCAACGAAAAAACCATTCTGTGAACTGCATTTTAAAAGCACGTCTGGGAGATATGCTTACTGAATCTGACTATGATATTTCAAGCTCTGGTTGTGTGTGATTATTGTAACCGAGCAATTTCAAGACCCCAATTATATATGTTCCCTTCTATGTAAGTAAGTGGCTAGGAGCAGTCTTCGTCAAATAGAAGCCTTACTACCTAACGCTTTTGGAAGGTAAAACTAGTATAGCTAATTAGTATTCGAAGGCTTCCCTCTCTCAAAAATATATAAATAAATAAAAAGGAAAGGAAAACTCGAAAGAGTCTTGTTTAATCTTAAACATTATGTAGTAAGATCCTAAAATCTTGTTTTATATGGTGGATGAAACAAAAACAGGGGAATAAAGGGGGACAGAATAATTTTCGAGCAACTGTTCTTTCTTTTTATTCTTTTTTTACTTTCTTTGATTAGCTTCTATATGTAGGGAAAAATGTTATTTAGTGGAAACTATTTGTCTCGCTTTTCATTTACTTAATGGTCTAACCTCTACCTAAATTGGTCTGGCTAACCATATCTTGAGATCATTTTCTTATATATATATATATATATATACCCATTTATCCTCTTATTTTACCTTAGAATAATTAGAGTTATGGATTCCTAATGGCAACTTTGAGTGATGAATATAGTGGAACAATATCAAACTCTAAAAGGTAGAATATTATAGAAAATTTGGAAAGAAAATAGAATAATTAATAATGTTGCATTCTTCAAGGTGTTCTTTAGGACAGAAAAGTAGTTTAAAATAATATAAGAAATGCAAATAGGTAGATTTTTGTATTATATCAAATGTAAAACTCTGTCCTGGGTTGTCAACAACTAATAGAGAGATATATACTACAAATAATGTGTATACTATCAATATCATGAGAAAGCAGGCTTTAAAAGGAGTGGGGATGAAGTGGGCGTGGATGGCTAATGAGGCTAAGTATATAAGAGTGTAAAACCCTAGAAAATGGAGATGAAGAAAGCATGCCGGGTGTGACAAAGACCACACACTGTATATTCCTTCGAGAAAGAGATCGTGGGTCCGTTTTAGAATTACAGTGAGAAAGTATGCGCACGAGAGAGCATTAGTGTAACGTAAAGACACTCCACTTTCTCTCTCTCTTTCTTCTTTATTCAGCCTTTTTTCATAAATTCCACACTCTTTCTTCTCCTTCCTTCCTTTTTGCCCTTATTTGTAACGTAACTCCTTCAGTATGTTTGTACTCTTTCTCTACTCAGAAGGAGAATCCAAGATGATGATCATTTCATTTAAACAGTCCAAATGAAAGGGTTTCAAATTTTATTTATTGCTTTTACATGCATGCCCTCTCTCAGTTTTCTCTGCAAACCCCATGTCAGTTTTTAACCTTTTTATCTGAATATATGCTTATTGTTGGGCAAAAAGTAAGTTGAACAGAATAATCTGAATCAATAATTCGTCATAATTTCGTCTGACAAAGTATTATAAATAAATAATGACAACACATTTGCTCGATGCTTTAATAATTAGTAAATACCAAACAATTCTTAATTATACCAAAGCTTTATTTAATTTAAGTATGGTTTTATTATTAGTTATAAAATATGGTGTCTATAATTATATATCCTCTTAAGATGACTACATGTAAATATAATGTTATCCTTTAACAAGACATGAATTCTACTTTTCATTATATTGTTCGGATACACCAGTTGCTACTATCATTGTAATTAATTAATATGGTTTTTGTAAGGTAAAGAATATGTCAGATTGTCGTTCAACCACCCTTGGATGGTCGAGTGGTTGAATAAAAACTCTTGGGATATTATCCAAGAGTCTTGAGTTTGATTCACCTTTATTGCTAATAAGGATGACCACTAGAAGTTTATCCGGTTATTAACTTTAAGGTCTCAAGAATAAATTGAAGTACACATAAGCTGACCCTGACATTTAGGTAAAAAAAAAAGAATATGTCACAGTGAATTATAGCAAAGATAGATAGAGATAAATATCGAACTTTCAAACTAAATTTTTCAACGGTTACAGAAATCCTTGTCAATATCCAAAGCCAGTCAAAAGAGCATGTTGGTAATATCCAGCATAATCAATCCTTTCCAACATCTGTCCCTGTTTCCCTTTCAATCGTTCTTGTTCAAACATCAGTCAAGTTGCCACTTTCGTAAATAACTCTAAACTCCATGCCCATTTTCATACCCTTTAAACCACCATCTATTTATACACTTGGTTCTCTCACTCTATCACCCTTAACCTCAATAGTTCAAAACAAAAGTTCAAAAAACTACTCCCCCTTTGCTAACTTCTTCACTTTCAAGCCAGTTTTCCTTGTAACAAAAACCCCGTGAACTCTTAAATTACACTACTTTAATTATGATATTTAGGTGCGTTACTAGACGTTTTACCTAAATTTATCATTACTGTTTTGGATTTACATTCTTTCTGTTAATCAAAAGTGTTCATGTAAACCATATTTTTTCAGTCTCGCCACTCATCATGACCGTTTCGATGCTGTTTGCTTATTGATGAAGTTTTAATATTATGCATATATAACTACGTCAATTTAATTTTGCTGGTTCAATGATTTGATGCAGGAATATTAGTAAAGGTTCCTGATTGGAGTTTAAATCCATGCAATTATAGTGTAAGTATATTGGTTTCCTTGTTCAGATTATTCATTCTCTAGTTTAATTTTGTTATTTATATCATATATATTAATTATAGAAAGTTGTGTTTAGTTTCACTTTTTCTACTGCCTTTTGAACAGCTTGGGATCCGAGGAAGTAAAGCCAGATCATCTTTGGTGGAGACAGAGCAATCTTAAAACACTAAATCCCTGAAAAAAACCTCTCTAGATGTTATAGATATTCATCTCGATATGGCCAAGACCGGACTTAAAACATGTCCCAAATTATTGTTCATGTTCATTACGTTGTTGTTCTTGAATTCTCACATTTCTCATGGTGCTGAACTTGAGATTCTCTTGTCCTTCAAATCTTCGATCAACGACCCTTTTCACTTCCTTTTCAACTGGAATTCCTCTTTTAGTGTTTGCGAGTGGCATGGTATCACTTGCAAAAACTCTTCTCATGTCTATAAAGTCGAGCTTCCTGCAAAAAATATTTCTGGAAAAATTTCCTCATCACTCTTTCATTTGCCATATGTGGAAAGTATCGATCTCTCAAGCAATCAGCTTTCTGGGGGATTTCCCAGTGACATATTCTCTTCCTCTCCACTTCAGCACCTCAATCTTAGTAACAACAACTTCACTGGTCCAGTTCCAGGCGGTTCAATCTCGCGCCTTCAAATATTGGATCTATCCAACAACATGCTTTCTGGGAAAATTCCACCAGAGTTCGGATTCTTTTCTGGTTTAAAAGTTCTTGATCTTGGTGGAAATGTTTTGGTGGGGAGAATTCCAATTTCAATAAGGAATATCACTTCTCTGGAATTCTTGACTTTGTCTTCAAACCAGTTAGTTGGGCCAATCCCGCCGGAATTAGGCCAACTGAGGAGCCTTAAATGGATTTACTTGGGATATAACAATCTTTCCGGTGAAATTCCAAAAGAAATAGGTCATTTAACTTCTTTGAATCATCTTGATCTTGTTTACAACAATCTCACAGGACAAATACCTTCTTCCTTTGGAAATCTCACCAATCTTCAGTACCTGTTTCTCTACCAAAATAAGTTAACCGGTTCAATTCCTATATCCATTTCTGGCCTCAAAAGTCTAGTTTCCCTTGATCTCAGCGACAATTATTTGTCCGGTGAGATCCCAGAACTCGTTGGTCAATTGCAAAACTTGGAGATCCTTCATCTTTTCTCCAACAACTTCACCGGGAAAATCCCAAATGCTTTAGCTTCCTTACCACGTCTGCAAGTCCTTCAATTGTGGTCAAACCAGTTGTCAGGTCCGATTCCTAGCAATCTTGGAAAACATAATAATCTCACTATACTTGACCTTTCAACCAATTTTCTCACCGGAAAGATACCTGAGACAATTTGTAATTCCGGTAATCTTTTTAAGCTCATCCTCTTTTCGAATTCATTGGATGGTGAAATCCCAGAAACTTTAAGTACTTGCAAAAGCTTGCGGCGAGTGCGTCTTCAAAATAACAGTCTCTCCGGTCAATTACCATCGGAATTCACCAGGCTGCCGCTCGTATATTTCTTGGATATTTCAGGAAACAATCTCTCTGGAAGCATCGGGGAGCGAAAATGGGACATGCCGTCGCTTGAAATGTTGAATTTGGCAGGAAACAAATTCTCCGGAAACTTGCCCGGTTCATTTGGCAGTGACAAGCTCGAGAACGTGGACTTATCTGAAAATGAATTTTCAGGTACTATTCCTCGGAGTTATGGGAACTTATCTGAGCTAATGCAGTTGAAGCTTAGCAAAAACAAGCTGACCGGTGAAATCCCTGAGGAATTATCTTCATGCAAGAAGCTCGTGAGTCTAGACCTTAGCCACAACCAGCTCAGTGGCCAAATCCCTGCCAGTTTATCCGATATGTCAGTTCTCGGCCAGCTTGATTTATCGGAAAATCAATTGTGCGGAGAGATTCCGCAAAATCTAGGGAACGTAGAATCACTTGTTCAAGTGAATATTTCTTACAACCATCTTCATGGTAGTCTACCGTCTACTGGAGCTTTTCTTGCTATAAATGCAAGTGCAGTTGCAGGAAACGATCTTTGCGGCAGCGATAGTCCATCTGGTTTACCACCATGCAAACGGAATAAGAGTCCCACCTTGTGGTTTGTTGTTGCTTGCTTTCTTGTTGCCTTAGCGCTGCTTGCTCTTGCTGCTTTTGTTGTTGTGTTCATTCGAGGAAAGAAAATTTTGGAGCTAAAGCGAGTGGAAAGTGAAGATGGGATATGCGAAATGCAATTCTTTAATTCCAAGATTGCCAAGTCATTAACAATAAATGAGATTATATCGTCCACCAAAGAAGAAAATCTCATTTCAAGAGGCCACAAAGGGATTTCGTCATACAAATTTAGATCCTCAGCAAGTGACATGCAATTCGTTGTGAAGAAACTCGTTGATGTAAACTCAGTTACGTCAAGTTTTTGGTCGGATATCTCAGAATTCGGGAAGCTTCGGCATCCAAACATCGTCAAGTTAAGTGGAATATGCCGATCTGACAAGGCTGCCTACTTGGTTTATGAGTACCTCGAAGGTAAAAACTTAAGTGAAATTGTTCGAAATTTAAGTTGGGAAAGGCGACAAAAAATTGCCATAGGAATCTCAAAAGCACTACGGTTCTTGCATTGTTATTGTACCCCAATTATTGTGGTTGGTGAAGTGTCACCGGAGAAAGTGATTGTCGACGGAAAAGACGAACCGCTCCTGAGGTTGAGTCTTCCCGGTCTAGAATGTAAGGACAGAAAGAGCTTTATCTCTTCCGGCTACGTTGGGCCAGGTAAAATTATAAGACCTTTGTTAATTGTTGTAGAATAATTAGGTAAATGTCTAATATTTTCCTAGGTAATTGTGGAAATAATAATTGTCATGACTGCATGGTCCAGACATTATATATACTGTGGTAGAATTCACATAATTATGTTTCGTAAATTATTTGTAATCATGTGAACGTACCATGTGGCATTCGAAAAAATCATAAAACATTCATTATTAGTCAACCTTAAATTATGAAATATTATATCCGGTTCACACACTTTATGTCAAAAATATTCTCTGTGATCATACAATATTAAGAGATTAATTAAAATTTAAAACACATTAATCAATTGATTTGATGCAGGAATATTAGTAAAGGTTCCTGATTGGAGTTTAAATCCATGCAATTATAGTGTAAGTATATTGGTTTCCTTGTTCAGATTATTCATTCTCTAGTTTAATTTTGTTATTTATATCATATATATTAATTATAGAAAGTTGTGTTTAGTTTCACTTTTTCTACTGCCTTTTGAACAGCTTGGGATCCGAGGAAGTAAAGCCAGATCATCTTTGGTGGAGACAGAGCAATCTTAAAACACTAAATCCCTGAAAAAAACCTCTCTATATGTTATAGATATTCATCTCGATATGGCCAAGACCGGACTTAAAACATGTCCCAAATTATTGTTCATGTTCATTACGTTGTTGTTCTTGAATTCTCACATTTCTCATGGTGCTGAACTTGAGATTCTCTTGTCCTTCAAATCTTCGATCAACGACCCTTTTCACTTCCTTTTCAACTGGAATTCCTCTTTTAGTGTTTGCGAGTGGCATGGTATCACTTGCAAAAACTCTTCTCATGTCTATAAAGTCGAGCTTCCTGCAAAAAATATTTCTGGAAAAATTTCCTCATCACTCTTTCATTTGCCATATGTGGAAAGTATCGATCTCTCAAGCAATCAGCTTTCTGGGGGAGTTCCCAGTGACATATTCTCTTCCTCTCCACTTCAGCACCTCAATCTTAGTAACAACAACTTCACTGGTCCAGTTCCAGGCGGTTCAATCTCGCGCCTTCAAATATTGGATCTATCCAACAACATGCTTTCTGGGAAAATTCCACCAGAGTTCGGATTCTTTTCTGGTTTAAAAGTTCTTGATCTTGGTGGAAATGTTTTGGTGGGGAGAATTCCAATTTCAATAAGGAATATCACTTCTCTGGAATTCTTGACTTTGTCTTCAAACCAGTTAGTTGGGCCAATCCCGCCGGAATTAGGCCAACTGAGGAGCCTTAAATGGATTTACTTGGGATATAACAATCTTTCCGGTGAAATTCCAAAAGAAATAGGTCATTTAACTTCTTTGAATCATCTTGATCTTGTTTACAACAATCTCACAGGACAAATACCTTCTTCCTTTGGAAATCTCACCAATCTTCAGTACCTGTTTCTCTACCAAAATAAGTTAACCGGTTCAATTCCTATATCCATTTCTGGCCTCAAAAGTCTAGTTTCCCTTGATCTCAGCGACAATTATTTGTCCGGTGAGATCCCAGAACTCGTTGGTCAATTGCAAAACTTGGAGATCCTTCATCTTTTCTCCAACAACTTCACCGGGAAAATCCCAAATGCTTTAGCTTCCTTACCACGTCTGCAAGTCCTTCAATTGTGGTCAAACCAGTTGTCAGGTCCGATTCCTAGCAATCTTGGAAAACATAATAATCTCACTATACTTGACCTTTCAACCAATTTTCTCACCGGAAAGATACCTGAGACAATTTGTAATTCCGGTAATCTTTTTAAGCTCATCCTCTTTTCGAATTCATTGGATGGTGAAATCCCAGAAACTTTAAGTACTTGCAAAAGCTTGCGGCGAGTGCGTCTTCAAAATAACAGTCTCTCCGGTCAATTACCATCGGAATTCACCAGGCTGCCGCTCGTATATTTCTTGGATATTTCAGGAAACAATCTCTCTGGAAGCATCGGGGAGCGAAAATGGGACATGCCGTCGCTTGAAATGTTGAATTTGGCAGGAAACAAATTCTCCGGAAACTTGCCCGGTTCATTTGGCAGTGACAAGCTCGAGAACGTGGACTTATCTGAAAATGAATTTTCAGGTACTATTCCTCGGAGTTATGGGAACTTATCTGAGCTAATGCAGTTGAAGCTTAGCAAAAACAAGCTGACCGGTGAAATCCCTGAGGAATTATCTTCATGCAAGAAGCTCGTGAGTCTAGACCTTAGCCACAACCAGCTCAGTGGCCAAATCCCTGCCAGTTTATCCGATATGTCAGTTCTCGGCCAGCTTGATTTATCGGAAAATCAATTGTGCGGAGAGATTCCGCAAAATCTAGGGAACGTAGAATCACTTGTTCAAGTGAATATTTCTTACAACCATCTTCATGGTAGTCTACCGTCTACTGGAGCTTTTCTTGCTATAAATGCAAGTGCAGTTGCAGGAAACGATCTTTGCGGCAGCGATAGTCCATCTGGTTTACCACCATGCAAACGGAATAAGAGTCCCACCTTGTGGTTTGTTGTTGCTTGCTTTCTTGTTGCCTTAGCGCTGCTTGCTCTTGCTGCTTTTGTTGTTGTGTTCATTCGAGGAAAGAAAATTTTGGAGCTAAAGCGAGTGGAAAGTGAAGATGGGATATGCGAAATGCAATTCTTTAATTCCAAGATTGCCAAGTCATTAACAATAAATGAGATTATATCGTCCACCAAAGAAGAAAATCTCATTTCAAGAGGCCACAAAGGGATTTCGTCATACAAATTTAGATCCTCAGCAAGTGACATGCAATTCGTTGTGAAGAAACTCGTTGATGTAAACTCAGTTACGTCAAGTTTTTGGTCGGATATCTCAGAATTCGGGAAGCTTCGGCATCCAAACATCGTCAAGTTAAGTGGAATATGCCGATCTGACAAGGCTGCCTACTTGGTTTATGAGTACCTCGAAGGTAAAAACTTAAGTGAAATTGTTCGAAATTTAAGTTGGGAAAGGCGACAAAAAATTGCCATAGGAATCTCAAAAGCACTACGGTTCTTGCATTGTTATTGTACCCCAAGTATTGTGGTTGGTGAAGTGTCACCGGAGAAAGTGATTGTCGACGGAAAAGACGAACCGCTCCTGAGTTTGAGTCTTCCCGGTCTAGAATGTACGGACAGAAAGAGCATTATCTCTTCCGGCTACGTTGGGCCAGGTAAAATTATAAGACCTTTGTTAATTGTTGTAGAATAATTAGGTAAATGTCTAATATTTTCCTAGGTAATTGTGGAAATAATAATTGTCATGACTGCATGGTCCAGACATCATATATACTGTGGTAGAATTCACAAAATTATGTTTCGTAAATTATTTGTAATCATGTGAACGTACCATGTGGCATTCGAAAAAGATTTTTCCGCGCATAAAACATTCATTATTAGTCAACCTTAAATTATGAAATATTATATCCGGTTCACACACTTTATGTCAAAAATATTCTCTGTGATCATACAATATTAAGAGATTAATTAAAATTTAAAACACATTAATTAAGAGATTATTGCAGTGGAAGTTTTTTTTTTTTTTTTCGTGGTCATGTGTTTGTTTCTTGTTTATAAAACAAAAGGTTAGTAGGACATTTCCTTTACTAAAAAGCTGAAAGCAATAGGTAATATTAATATATAGAAGTACATATTATTCTTCCTTCCCCTTAAAATATAAATGGAATCTTGGCCTTTCATTATGCTGTTTTGAAATCTGAGTAGTATGATTTTACCAGGCATTATTCTATTAACCATGCATTAATACACATTATCAAACGATCATGATCATGTATACTAATTGTTGTTTTCTAAAATTGTTTGTGTTGGTAGAAACTAAAGAAACCAAACAAATTACTGAAAAAGGTGATATCTATGGGTTTGGTCTCATCCTCATTGAACTATTGACGGGAAAAAGTCCTGCCGATGCTGAGTTTGGCGTACACGAGAGCATAGTAGAGTGGGCACGGTATTGCTACTCAGATTGTCATCTAGACATGTGGGTTGATCCGATGATCAGAGAACACTTGTCAACAAAGCAGAATGAAATTGTTGAGACGATGAATTTAGCTCTTCATTGCACCGCCGGCGACCCCACGGCTCGACCATGTGCAAGTGAAGTAACCAAGACCCTAGAGTCTAGTTTCAGGAGAAGTCCCTGTGTCTCAAGCTTAAAATTTTCTTCACCTATTTAGTTTTGTATTATGATTTTGTTTACCCTCTTTTTTTATGTTTATTTTATTTTTATTTTTTTAGTTTTGGTTTTTTTTTTTTTTTTTAATATAATTGAGGTGTTAAATGATTGTCACTCAAATGTTTTGTTTGATGGTATGCTGAGTACATACTACTACTGAGTGTAAAAATGTAGATAAATTAAATGCCATAGTATGAATTACAGTTATTATAACTCTTATTATCTTCCTCTTTTACTGAGCAAATCATAACAAAAATAATTATGACTTATAATTAGCATTTTTTACCCTACAATAATTGCAATCCAGAACTATTAAAATGGAATTTTCAAGAAATTAATGAGATATAATCAAGCAGATGGGCTATATTATTATGAAATATTAGATCGATCGATGTTATAATAACCTAATCCTTCCCCAGCTGGAAGTAATCATCGTAATAAAATCACACAATAATTCAAAGTAAAATTTTTTATTTTAAGTAATAATAAAAGACTACATAAAATGAAATCAGAGAATTTATGAATATTTTCTTTTAGGAAAATCAATCACACCCGTCAGGTTTTCTTTATTTATTATCATGAAAAATAAGATTGCTGCATACCCCCTTTGAGATTCATTTCAAAATAATACATAGAAGAATCATCAGTTTTTCTCTCTCTAATAATTTAGGCACTTGTTACAAAAAATATTTTTTCTTCTAATGTAGCCATGAGCTGAACCAGAATATGCGTCAGGGAGAATCGTTTCTAATTTTATGAAACCAAGTGAGTGGATATCCCATTTTAGGAAGAGTACTACAGAGTGAGATGATCAGTTTCCAGCAAAGGGTGAGTGGAACTTTGAAAACGCTCACCATTAATCTCTTTTTACATGCAGCATATTTGCTAAGTTTTTTTTTGGATTTTTTTAAAGCAAAGAGAAAGAGAATTGAAGGTACAGGGAAACAGGCATGCGTGGGGAGAAGCAGTTTAGATAGATTTGGATTCAACACGACAAACATGGCCTACTTTCTCCACTTCTATTCTTATCTTTTTTTATTTACTAATACTTTGTCTCGATCTGCGCTCTTTCCATTTTGCCGACTCCACTATAATGTTTGACTTGCTCATGGCGCCGTGTGGCTTGCATATTCCACATGTCAATTAAACTAATTACCAAATTATCATTATAATTAATTGGTAATTAATTCCCAACCTTTTAATTTGTACTCTTTCAGAAATGCATATCACAATTAGTTTTCTTTTCTTCCATTGGCGCCCCATAATGATATAATATTGCATATAAATGAGCCTCTTTAAATTTGAATATTGAGTATGGGAAACAGTTGAATTGAAGAATATGAACGTACGACATTCTCTCCATAGCTAGGCTTCTTTCTTTAGCACTTATTTTTACATATTTTTTCCTAGTACAGTGATGTAAGAACAGAAGGAGCGGGCAGCCATTGAATGGTTGTAATCAGCTCTTAAGGTCAAACAGCTAGCAAACAGAAACACTCATGCTTCATTAAGGGACCACTGTAGTACTATCTCCTGATGGTTTTATGATTTTGTTTGTCCCATTGTCGGTCACCTCCTTTCCTGTAAAGATTAGGAAAAAAAAAAAAAAAGTCCAAAAACTACTATACAATCACGAAGCTGCATGTAAAAGCCATTACCTTAGGCAGTAAAGCAGAAAGTCTTTGTGCTTTAATTACCTTCACACTTCATGGCTTCTCCATCTTCATCTCTCAACAGACCCTCTGGATTGACTTTAAATATCACCTGTGCACTCAGTTTTGACCTAAGTTACAAAAAATGTTAAACATAATCATTCGAATACTTTCTCTTTTATCATGATGTAGGAATTTTCCGCCCGTTGCTGACTTTACAATATTAGTAACAACCCACTTAATTATTCGATATGGATACATGATCTTTCATAAACTTGATATCTCATTGTAATTTACAACTGATTAAGCTTGAGCACTTTATATATATATAAGTATATATGGTAGATAGACTACTCCACTAAGGTCAAAAGAAGAGGAGTAATTTTCCAGCCAAGAGAGGCTTTCCCACAACCTTTCTTGTGACACTTTTCCTTCTAATTTCTAAGTTATAATGATGGCGTTAGGGATTTTCTTTTGTTCTTTTTTTATCCTTCTATTCCCTTAAGCAATGATGGTGGTGACAAAAACTCTTTTCCCTTTTGCTCAATCAGAACTCATTGGGGGTGGGGGGGCTTACATAGTTAGAAGATTCCATCAATAAAGATGAGTCTAAACATAAAAATTTAAACTAGCTGACATTATATTGGCAAACCAGCTCAGTTTTGCTGTCACAGATATGATCGATATTGCAAGTGTTTTCATCTTAAAAGTCTCAAGATATCAATTATACTTCTTGGAGACCATGCAAAAGCCTCTTTGCCTTCTCTCTTTCTATTCAAAAAAAGCTCCTTTTTCTCCCCATTTTTATTTTCTTATTAGATTCAATGGAGTAAAAGGTGTCCATATCTTTTATTTTTTTCTGCTTTTAAGTTTCCCTTTCAAGATTTTGTAGCAAACATTTTCCCAGTTTTGTTCCTCTAATTTAAGACACAACTGGTTTTATTTTCGAATTTTAATGTAATAATAACAATAATTAGATACACGTGCGTCCCATTCTATATGGCATCAACAACCCACTAGCTCAATAAAATCTAAGGAGTTTGAATTTTGATGTGGTGACACTCGGCAGGTGTTGCCGTTTGACTCGTGTTCAAATTCTCTTTAAAGATTTCAAATAGATTTTTTTGTTTTTTTATGCATTATACTTTTTTTGTTTTTTTTGTTTTTTTTTTTTTTATAACCAGAGACCAGTCAGTTTGTGTGCACTTTAACTAATCTTCGAGACCCTGAAATTAACGACTAGATAATCTTCCAATAGAATTTTCATACTTTATTTTAATATAAAGCTCATTTCAATATATCTAGCATTTATTGAATTGATCATTTAGGTAATTTCTCCTACTTATTGAAGTAAACTTTAAATACCAAATTGGCCAAGTTACAATTCTCATCAATTTATGCAGCTCGTTTTGATACACTCTAGAAATGAGATTGCTTATTTTCCATTTTTTAATACAACTGATATGTCATAATTAATAATTTGAAATCAACCCATCATGAAAAGAGATATTATGTTGGTGTTGGTCTGTCTAAATTAAAACGTTAACCTTAACCCATATGAGTATTTGTTTCCTATAGACAGTGTGGCTTGGTCAATGATCAACCCTTCACTCCCACACAATTAAAAAAGCTTCCAAGCAATCTCTGGGCCAGCTTCTTTTTCCACTGATAATGTTCCCATGTTAGGTAAACCCACTTAATTTATTGCTGTTCTCAGTTTAATGGACAGTGTTCAATTTAAAACCATTTTTTTTTTTTTTTTTTTTTTTTTATAATCTTCGATAGATTATGTGTAAGTTTTTTGTTACAGTACAATGTTATTGTTTTCCTGATAAAGGCGAGTAATTTTCCCAGAAAATGAAGTTTTGGGCACTAAAAATTATATATGCAATCGACCAGAGCATTAGATTTGATGAAGAACAAGAAGTGGGATGAGAATTATAATGATATTGATGACTCAATATCGATCATTATAAAAGATGTGAGGAGATTATGATGTTACAAAGGGGTTTGATTGAATCAAAGATTGCTTGTGCAAACGTGGCATGCATAGAACTAGTCCAGCAGGGAAACATCTTAATTAATGACCAAATGTACTTAGCCATTACAGAACAGTTTCCATAAGAAGTGATCTGAGTAATGGATTATGGAAGGATGTGGATAATTTGATCATTATGAGATTTGATTCGAGGGGTTAATGCGTCGTTATTACCAAAACCCCATCAAGAGTCTATATATCCAGCTCCAATGGGAGCTGAGTGGGAGGATGACCCTTCGTGTCTTTCAATTATGTGGAAAAAAAAAAAACAAAGAAAGAGAAAGGGTCATTTTCTGAATTGAAACAACCGATCGCTTGAAGATGGACACCATTCAATATGGTGGGGTAAATTTTGCTTATCTGCTTACTTATTGAGGATCTGCCTTTTGAAAACTTCAGTAACACTCTTGCCATTTGAAGTATAATTTGATCTCGTTTGAAGTGGGAGGATGATTTGGTAAGACCTAATTATGAAGCTCTTGCAATATCATTAAACCAGCAATGGCTATAATTAATTATCAGTACTCGTCCCTTCATTTGAAAAATTATTACTTGTTATGTGCATCACATTCTTGTTTTTTCCTTTTTCAATCTTACTTTTAAAAGTCGGGCTGTCTTTAGCCCCCAAGACCTTAAAACTATTGATCGGATAAAAACTCCAGTGGTCACCACTATTAAGAACTGTAGAAGAGACCATATTAGATTCTCTTCTTGCTCTTTTACCATTAAAGAAACTTCGAACTTGGAAGATCATATTAGATATTCTTTTACAATTAAGCCATTAAGTGGAAGTTATATCATTTTATTATCTTTGTTAATTAGACACAGATATGCCCGAAATGTCAATGAATTTACAATTTTAATAACTTTATTCATCTTCCTAATGCTTGAGCAAGAATGGTTGCTAGCAATTGCTTGGTTATGTTTTTTACATAATCATAAATAAAGGGCAACTGGGGTTTAAAAGGATTGATAATAATCATTAATTTAGGTGGAAGAACAAGTAAGGGCTAAACAGTAAGGTAATTGAAGGATGCAGTAAGAAATTGATTGACATACAACCAATGATTGATCTCTAAGATTAGAAGGTGCAAAGGGAATGTTTTGATTATAATTTAACTTAAAAAGAGAAGGAAGAGACAAAGGATAAGAATTCAGATGGAATATTAAAAGTAAAAGGCAGAAGCATAGGGATTGATAATAAAGCATAAAGCAAAATAAAAAGAGAGTAAAGTAAACCAAAAATGGGGTCACTGTTGCCATTTGCTACTACATGTTCATGACAGTACTAACGCATTTCCACACAAAAGGACGAAAAAGAAAAAGGATTCTTCTAACCTAAATTTTTCATCTACAGTCTATGAGATTGATCTGTCTAAAGCTTCACACAAATGACCAGTTGATGAACATGAAACAGATGCAATGAGCATTTTCTTCCTCATTTAACACCTTCCAAGCTACTGCTCTCTCGTACGACACTGGCCTCCCCATGCTTGACAAGCAAATACCACCTTGAAGGCACATAAAACCCTGCACCCACCAATTTTAGGATGAGGGAATTAAACCTAACTCATTAACTAATATCAACTGAAGAGAAACATTACTGCATGATAAATACGTACATGTATGCCTAATTTGGATAAAACAACTATATATACCTGCTGCATTATTTGTGGGAACTCTGAGCACAAAGTCTTCCTTCCATTGTCGTCGAAGATCTTCTCGAGAGTTATGTCTTGAAGTGCAACCAAGGTTGTCTCAAGCATGTCAAGCCCTGCTTGATTTGCAAATGTGAAAACTGGCAGAGCCTGCATAAATTAATAATTAGATTACGTTGGCCTGTAGGCCAAAAACAAAAAAACAAAACAACAAAAAACAGAAGTAAACCTTGTCACGTATGAAACAAATAAATACCTTCAGAGAGCAGCACATAAGTGCATCGGAATGATGCCAAAGTGATTTAAGAGTGGATTCACTTCCTTCATTTTTAAGAAGTTCCACACCAAGATAACATCTGTAATGAAATTCATATACAATTCTTATTAACCCACGTTATAAATTGTTATCTTTTCCTAGATGTGATCTGAATTATATATCAAATGTCTTAAGAAATTATAAGACGTACCGATAGCTTTGGCTTATCCAACGAGCAAGAGTGTGGGCTTCAGGAGTACCAGGAGGTGGCCGAAGTCCAGCTTGAGAACCAAATCGAGTAGGGGAGAGTGCCAGTGCCACCCTCTGAACAGAGGATATAATACTACGTACATACTGCCTAGCCATGGTTGCTATGTTTTCTTGAAGGTGGATCTCGAATGCAAATTGGAATGCTATCGTAATCACAGATTTTGTGCTCCCACTGGGAGCAGAGTAATCACCAGATGCTTTATTTCCAGTGGTTCCAACTTCAAGAGCAGAGGCAAGGTCAAGAGTACGGTTTGGACTGGAGGCATCCTGCATCACATTTAAGAGTGAATTTCCATGCTACATTAAATAAAGAGATAAAATGATCAAATCATACATGATAAACACTTACTTTTCCCGAATCAAGTGGAATAATGCGGAAACCAGAAGGAATTATTGGTGCATCATCAGAAAATGAAGCATCAATTGGAGCAAAGACCAGTTCGGCGCTGGTGCCAATTGCATTCTCATCCACTCCGCTACAAAGCTGAGAAATAATAACCATGCTCAGTAAAAAATCAACAGCTGAAATGGAATCACCCAATAAAGGTTAAAGTTATTGCATTTATGAGAGGGATAAAGCCTAGGTCAAACCTCGCGGCCTGAATCATTTTCTTGGCGACATTATGGCCTAACTTCCTAGTCTACGTGACTTAGATAAATTTGGACCAATAATTGGTGCACCGTTCAAGCATTAACTTCTGTTATTTTTGCAACTGAAGACCTAAAGCTAAGGTTAACTTATACTTTTAACTCCTTGTTTGGAATGGGAAAATTGCACAAAAATCTGGAGGCATCTAGTTCATCAGGAATCAAGTACTATCTTCACATAGGCAAGTTATCAGAAGAGGCAAGAAAAGCAAATGTATGAATACAAACTTTATGAATTTGCAAATTGATGTGCATTATGTCTTGAAATAACAAGAATTAAGTATTGCTACTTACTTGCAAGAGGAAGATGTCACTAGGCATTATCATGTCGTTCCGATAGGGGCCCATATTCTCAAGCTTAATGACCTCTAAAAACTGTAATGAAACAATTTGATTTTATCAGATACTGCCTTACAGAGACATTTTCTGTAAGAATGATGCCAAGAAAAAATCAAGGACTAGCTTCGGTAAAACTTGCCTCTTCATGCTCAATTGTGTGAGCCAGTGGAAGAATAACTTGACCCCCAAAGTTTCCAGCTCGGGGCACTGGTAAGCTACAGGGACCAGCTTTAACAGCAGCAGCCGAATAAGCATCAATACTGCTGTCTGCCCACTCTGATCTGTGTTCTCGCAAGAATCTGAGCAGAATAGCTGGAGGTACATCCTATAAAAGTTGAAAGGTAGCTTCTTCAGTCAAGCATATTTAATCTTTATTCATAAACTCAGACATACAATAAATACTAATCTATTATCTAGTAAATGAGCAACACGTATGAAAAAACATACCTGTAATAACATGGATGCCTTGGCACACAGCACTGCATTGCTCATAGAGGGGAATCCGTTGGCATAAGAAAGAGGCACACCCATCATCTTGCTAGGAGATGAGTTCACGTGGACTGTAACATCATCAATGCCGTCACTTTCCAACATAGACCACCCCTCATCAGTAAACCCATTAAGAGCTTCATTAAAGCCCCTGCATAATACAATCTGTCAGACGACTGCATACAATTAAAGAATACTGTATTGATCAAAGGGAACAATCTGAAGTATCAGGAATAACATACTTGCTTAATCTTTGACTAAGTGCACGTAGAGCTGCAGGTCTTCTTCCCCAACCAGTAACATTAGGCTGTGAAACTTCTTGGGAGATCTGCCTTAAATGGCGTAAAGCCTGCATCAAATGGTAAGGTTATATTGGAGGAGTATGAGACATTCAAACTCAATGATATTATCCTTCTTTCTACATCTTAATAGGCATTATTTCTATAGCATAAAGAAGAAGCTATTTGTATATAAGTTAATAAATTCCTCAATGCAAAGAAATCACTAGAGTCAAGTGTCTTACCGCCATTGTTGTCTTCTGAGCAAGCAGGGTTGATGACTCATAAAGCGGGCGCAACACTTCAGGGACACTCCACGGCTATACATACAAGTGATTTAAAATTAAAAATGGTTCAGTTATTGGGAAAAAACACCTATATTTTCCCATACAAAATGAAGCAATTCACCTACCTCTAAATCCATATGATCAACTATATGAATGATTGATCCACCCCCTTCACAAGGTCTTATCAGATAACCACTAGGCAGCATTTCTGCTCTCACAAAATGTGACGCCTGTGGCATACTCGGACCATTCTGAGTATTGTTGAGTGATCTTTCACAGACCTAATAATTTAAAAGAACATATATACATCATCAAATCACAATTGAAAGCTTGTTGATGAGATAAGCATCAAAGAAATTTCATGTATATTAGTACTTGCTTTAGAAGATTTGGAATCACATACCACAAGACTACCATCCTCCAAAACGGATGTGTAGCGCAGCAACCAGAAGTCACGGGCTGGTGCCAAAGTGGTTGGCGCATAGAGCTTCACGAAGACAAAAAAAATTTTTAGAAACAATTAAAGCTAATTTTTTTATCATGCTAAAACTAAAACCCGAAGCTCCAAAACTATAAGCACGAACCTGCATGTATAGCAATTCAATGGTTCCACTGCTTCCAGTGGGCAGCACGTTTACAACATCCACAGATCGGCAATCACGATACCATGATGGCCTATCTTTAAGGATTTCAGCGACCTGCACACAAAATTACCGACTAATTAATCTTCCCTTAACCAAATTAAAACTCTGTGCCCAGAAGGGAATTTAGTGCATTACCCTTGTAGGATCTAGGCCAACAAGGCCACATGCACGTGCTGCCACTCCAGTGCAACCATGAGAAATAGCAACGATTCCAATGGAATCCGGACCAGGCTGCACACACACAAATAAGAGATGATTACATGAATTATAAGCTTCAACCTAGTAACAACAGTTCTTTAAAGAAAAAAAAAAAATTCTTACTTAGATTTAAAAGAACAGAAACTATTATCGGAAACATTGACATCATGAAACCTTAGGATATGAAGAAAGAAATTAAAAAGACGACAGTGGTACGTTGTGCGTGGTGTGGTAGTCTGCATTCTGGTTGATTATTCACATTAATAATTAAAAATTAATAATGGGTAAATTTTTTTTTTTTTTTTTTAACCTAGTAGCAAAGTAGCCTGTCTGATACCAACGTTTTTCCATAAACTCGTTAAAGCACGCGAGAGGGAGAAAAATTAAGAAAGAAGAAAGCATAAAAAGGGCAAACAAGGAAAAAAAAAAAAACTAGCAAAAGCCAATAAAAGAGTGACAGAGACATCATCGTGATTAGTGCCGATGTTGTTGATATGACGTAAATGCGTGTTGCTTAGAAGATTAGCAAGATATTTACGTGGTTTATCAATAATTGTAGACAATGACAAAGAATAATTAACGGAGCAGAAGATTTAAATAATGAAAGTGAAGAGAGCAGTGACCTTCATCCCAGGCATTTGGACCCACTCCACAGCAGTTCCAGTGGCCTTTGAAAGAAACTCTGTTAAAGTCTCGTCTGCAATGGACAAAAGTCTAGAAAACATACAACCGGAATCTTATTAGATACTGCAACAAAAGTATAATTGTTGAGAGCAACAACACAGAAATCTTTCTCTACTAACCCTGCAGGACTGGCATCCCTTGGTGGATGCTGAGGAGTCAAATGGTGCTGACCACTCGTCACCACCGATTCACAACTAGTGTCTGTGGTGGCAAGTGTCGCCTGCAAAATTACACAATAAATTAACTCCAAATCCATAATAAACAAATATTTATAATACAAAAAAATATTCAATCGAATTCTTCTCATGTCCAGGCCTGAAAACTAACTAAGAACAAAAAATTCCACCGCAAATTGTTACCTAATTAAATTTTTTGCATAACTGAATGGATATATACAGGATCATAAATAAATATAAGACTCCAGATTTTGATTTATTCTCCTGTTCTAAATTTGAAGGCAACGAAATAAATTAAGGAAAAGGAGCGACAGATAGCATAAAATGAAATTGAATAGTTTACATTTTGCGTCTGTTGGCGGAAGAACGTGTTCTCATACACCAGCTGGGACACCTGCTTCTGCAACCGATCATTCTCCTCCATTAACAGCTTATTCATTGCTGTCAACTTCCTATTCACAGCTTGAAGGCGTGACGCTTCTTTCCTTTGTTTCTCTCTACACCTGCACAAGAAAAAGAAAAAAAGCATAGTTTCAGCTTAATTTCAACAATAATAATAATAATAAATCTTAAATAAAACAAAAAAAATTTAGACAGACCTTCTGTTTTGAAACCAAACTTTGATCTGCTTGGGTTCGATGTTGGAGAGAATAGGACATTCTCTGATGAGCTGCTGGCGGCGCATAGAACTTGGTTTAGGACAATCATGATAAAGTCTTTCAAGAGCTTCGACTTGTTCCGGCGTGTATCGAACATACTTCCCGTTGTCCATTTGCATCTTGTTATTACTACTCACGTCCTTGCAGCTCGAACTCACCGCCATCATTGCTTCACTGTCAATAACGAAAAACAAAACACAATTTGAATACTTGTTAATCAACTAACCAAATAACAAGTAATATAATTAATTAAATTCATAAAAAGAAGGTTTTGCGAACGAACCGTCAAGCAGATCAGATGACTGTGTATTGCCCCACACGAGGATAGCTAGAAGGAGTCCAGATTCATTATAGTTTACGAACACAGTCAAATCAAATCAAGCTTTGGTATAGTTTGAATATTGTTCGTTCAAAAATCAAGAATTCTTTTCTTTCTTTTTGAAAAGCTCAAGGCGTAAGATCTTTCACTGTGGACGTAAAGAGTGAGAAATAAAAAACGGAGGAAACTCTGAAAGATGCGAAGATGTGTTAAGCAAAGGCGTGAGAGAGTTCAAGAAGAGGGAAGTGGTAATTGAGCCATGAAGGAAGAGGAGAGAGTTAAAAGAGCTATTGAGTTGGGTGGGTTGTATAAATATGAAAGAAGAAGAGTTATAATTATTTAAAACGATGAAAGAAAGAGAATGAAAGTGATTCTTTGCTAAAAAAGAGAGAAACCCCTTAATACCAGACAGCAGAATATGAGACCGACCATATCCCGTTTTGTTTTCACATCATTTTTTTTCACTTTGCTCCGTTTCTGTTGCTTTTGCTGCCACTGCTTTTGTTTTTTTTTTGTTTTCTTGCACTCCTCCAACTTCAATCCTCTCGCTTATGTCAAATATATTTGTCCATTACTCTTCTCTTTTAACATTTTATCCACACTCTCCCTTTTGAGCGCGTGTCCCAAAAATTATGATTTAATTTTTTAAATTAGAGATTTAATTAAATAAATGATTTTAGTTTGAATAAAGAAGAGGGAGAATGGAGAGAGGACAAAATTATGAAAGTTAATGCATGCGACCGGGGCCAACCTCGATTTCTCATCTTTTATACATTCTACTCATCATCATCTCCCCCAAGTATCCATTAATTTGTTTTTTTTTTTTTAAAAATAAATTAAAAACCCAGAGCTGTGTTGAAGAAGAGAAGGTGGTGTATCCTATAATATAAACTAGGTTTGAAAATTGGGTTTACTTGTAATTAGCTACCTCAATCTTATAGTCAACAAGACCATGTTATCATACACAACTTAATTCTCCAAATTAATTACAAATATATATTAAACTTTGCTGAATTAGACAAAGTAATGGCAGGTAGTCAATGCCATTAACCATACACTAAAATGTACTAGTCAATTAAGGTGACCAAACTATTAAGTAGTCTAGTTCATCAAAATTGGGTACCAGCTAAAGAATTAACAATTAATGGCAGACCAACTTAAGTGGGTGTTTGATTCTTGGGCATTCCGCATCCAAGATTATTACTTTTTAACCAGATTAGATTAATTAATTTAATTATCGACTACTCTTTAATTTTTCACCTTTGATCCATTGTAATGGGTTATTTAACAGGTCATAATCTAGCGACTAAGAGATAAAGGCCGAAAAGATGTTTTTTATTTTAGATTTAATTAACAGTAGAATATGTCAACGGCTGTGAAAATAAAATGGGCTGGAAAAAGTGTTAACATGACCCGCCACTCCCGCTGGGTGCATAGAAAACGGTGCCACTAGTATTAGTTTAATAGCGAGATTTAGCCCATCAGAGATGGACAGCTGTGAGTTTTAAACGTATGCTTGACGCAGGCACGCAGCAGACCATATCTGGTGTGGTCCACACGTGTGGGACCTGTGGCCCCCGCACGCGTGAAGACTCTTCTTAACTTTATAACGTGCTCCTCACCAGCCACCCCAGGTGTACCATATTTTTTTATTTTTTATTTTTTATTTTTATCTCTCGTGCTTTTCTCGTTTATACCCTCTGCCTCACCCCACGCGCTCTTCTATTTTCGTTAAACATAATCCACTTTTATTTTCTTATTATTAACCAATCAATTAAAAGTAAATATAAAAACTTTTTTTTTTTCGTCAAAGATATATTAGACCCCTTAAGACTCAAGCCCTCTTTTATACTTTTGTTTATGCACTTTTTTGTTTGACTTAAGCAGATAACTTGTGATGCAAAACAGAATAATTATCCATCCAAGTAACTTTTCATTAATGTTAATGTTAATAATTGATTAATATTCAAAATCCAAATAAAATAAAATAAAAGCGAGTGGGGTGGGGTGGGGGTAGAGAAGGAATGAGAAAAGAACAAGTGTCAACTTCTTTCGGCGTGAGAGAACTGAGGGGGTATGCACTATAGACATTCTATTCGGGTTATAGGAAAGCGTGACTTGGTGTTTCCTTAACGTAACGGACTTTTAACACTCTCGTTCTCCTTTACCGTGACACGACGTAGTTGTGTCTTCTTGTTCTTACTTAGTTACTGGTTTTTTTTGTTGAAATGTGTGACAAATGTAACCTGAATATTTAATGAATCATTTACATGACATTAAAAATATGTGTGTAGCAGCAGTGGTACAAACACAAAAGCATATACACGATCCTAAAAGGGCACGCGAAGCAGAAGTAAATGGGAGTGAGGAAAAGTGTCAGTGGGACGGCCTCAGCGTGGGCCGACAGCCAATTGGTGGGCCCCATTAAGCGGCGGGGAAATAGAGGCTCTTTGGGCCCGCCCGGCTGTTTGATAAGGATTTGATTTTCTTTTTCTTTCTTTAATCAGAATATTCGGCGGCGGCACTCTGGACGCAAATCTCGGTGTTACTGTTAGTAGATTAGTGGTCCATCACCTGTGATGGTGACTGACTCTACGCGCTTCCCTCTACACCCGTAGAGCGTGGAATTGGAAATGTTTACTTGCTACTTACGACTTAAGGGTTGTCGGGCCACTTTGAAATGAAGCCCACCTTTTGTTTTGTTAGCCCAATAAAATGATTATGCTGCCCATATGCCTCTGTGAATACCACAATCATTTTGTTATGTCCCTAAAAATAATCACTGCAATTCAAATATATCTTTGCATGTACGCTTCCTCACTCCAAAATTTCTTTCTTTAGCCAATATTGTGGATACATGGCCTAACCGAATTGAACATACGTATGGTAAAGGATGAATGCGACAATCTGAGTTGGATATCATCCAATAAATTAGTAAAACTGACATCTGACCTAATTCATTTTTTGTCAAGTTATGGTGGTTGTACCAAAATTGGTCATCAGGAATTCACGAGCTTTCTTATAAGATGTTAACATCGCCCAGAACCGGTCTCTCGGTTTATCATTTTTCAATTTGACCGTTTCTGTTTCGTTTGCAGACTGGATTGTCCGCCAGTGGTAGTGGTGGTGGTTTACTTTCATAAATTTGGCTACATTAGGAGACTTTGAATCCAATGCCACGGAAAATCACATTCACTCGTGACTCAAAGTTAATTGCTGTTTGTTCTTACGTCAGATTTGATGGTGTTTCGTATCTGGTACAACTAGTGGAAGAGATGGAATTCCCCTTCCTCATTTGTCAACTTTTTACACGATCTTTACCTCCACTATCGAAGCCACTGTCCTCTAATCTACAAGGTTAACATTTTACATGTTCAGACTACATAAATTCTTTTAAGTATTTAAGAAAGATTGAAGCGACGTTTAGTTAGGGGTAATATAAGATTATTAAAGTTATGTCATCTTATATTATTTGATTATCAAGTTTGATTGTCAAGTAATATAAAATTTCAATAATCTTCAAATACCGATAATAGTTACTGTTAGTAATATTGGAGTTAAATCTAATTATCTCTATTTTTTTAGATATTGTAAGATTATTAAAATAATCTTTTTTTTTTGTTATAATTATATCCCTTATTAATAAAATTTTAAAACAATAATACCCTTATTTTTAAATTTATTTACATGAATGTTGTTTTTACTATTTCACCTCAATTAATTAACTTTTTGGACAAAATTACCCTTGAATTCAAAATAAATTGCAACCCACCCAAGCCACCACCCTCACCCACCTGCCACTGACAACCATCGCCGTCGTCGGAACGACACACAGAAGGCCAAAAATGATCGTCGTGCGCCGATATGGCCATCTCTGACCAGATCATGCTAGATCTGGCCATTGACGGACGTTGACTGCCAGATTGACAGATATGGCTGATGACGGATATCATTGATCTGGTCGTCAAAGGCAAGATCCGTCGATCTGGCCATCAACGGTCAGATCTATCACGTCTGGCCACCCGAAAATGGCCATACGACACACGGAGGCAATTTCCTACCTTCTGTACGTCGTTAGGTTGTCGACAATCGACAATGGCTGGGTTGGTGGAAATACTTTGTTGATTTTCCAAACTTTTAATATAGGGTTCTTTTTGCTAAGTTTTTAAATGCAGGGGAGTTATAAAATCCAAATAATAATCAATATTAAAAAATAATATAATAATAATATTTAATTAAAAGACAATTCAGTAATTTAAATAACATACTCACCAATTTATTCCTCACAACTAAACATATTAATATAACATACCCACTAATTAACCAAACACATTTTCCTAAAGATTATTGAAAAATTCACAGTAATCTTTAAGGTAATCTAACTTTTCAGTAATCAAATATTCTCGATAATTCAACATTCCTGAACCAAACCCCTAATAAACGTGTGGAGCACTTCACATTTTTAATCACGGGAAAAATTGCCCTATAGCTCCACATTTCAATCAACATGTCATATAATAACGTCAACTCAAGAAATCAAAGTCATAGAATTCTTATAAAAAGACAAAAAGGATATAAATAGCATGTCAGATCATGACTATGTTACTATTCAGATGACTATGTTACTATTCAGAGGCGGGCTCCATGCTTGAACAAGTTTTCTAAGTCGTCCAACATCCAAGATATTTTTTTTTCAAATAAGAAAAAGAAAAACATGGCTGCTACAATCTTTCAACAGTCAAGAAATATGTTACTGCACTCAATTTTAGAAAAAAGTAGTTTACATATAGTATTAGAACGAAGAAAAAAAAAAATCAATCAATTTCAACAAAATTGACCTAACAAATAATATTCATTAGTTATAAAAATCAAAGTATTGGTATCATGATCTTTACTTCTCAATACTCAATAATGAAGAATTTCAATGGACAACTACAAAGAGAACATCACATGGTCTAAATCAATTGTTTATTTGCCATTTACATATTCAACTAGAAGCCGGTCGAGCTCAAAATGGCGGGAAAGAAGTTTCTGCAAATGCATATAATTTAGAGAAACCTCACCTTAAAAAAAATGGAAAGATAAAAAACAGGAGAATACAGCTAAGGCAGTTGAAATCATACCTTGGTAATGGGAGGATGAGAAAATTTTTCTTCAAAATTGAATTCTGGGAATCGATTAATCTCAGCAGCATTCTCAAATAATATATATGTAGGAAGCTGTCCCATGCTCCCTACAAGGTTCCAACATGAATTCAGTAACAGTAATTGACGGACAATTAATAATGAGACCGGATTAATTAGAAGAAGATCCAAAGAATAAATTTGAGTGAACAGACAGTAATTTACCGCCAAGAGATATTCCAAATTTTTCTGCAGCATTTGGGAAGAGTCCAAGATCAACTATTCCAAAAGATAAATTTTTGTTTGAATATCTGCCACAGGGAAACCGAGTTAGGATAAAGCTTAGGGGAAACAGCCAACATTTAAGAAAAATGAATAATTCAAAATTCACCAACATACGTAATTGAGAGCTCGGGAAAGCACCGGCTTGCACGTAAACAAGTGGATGAACACAAAACGCGAAATTCTACCTGTAAGATTTAAGTTTTTTACTCCTACTATATATCAAGCAAATATGAAAAATCAAGTACATTGAACATAACATTAAGGCTCACAAATTTGCATGTGAACTTGCGAAATCAACTATAAATGAGTAGTTGTACGAAAAAATCTCAAAAGAAAATTTTGCTGATCATATAACCACCGAAGAAAATTTTGCTGCTTCACATAAGAAAGATTGAGTGTATAGCAGTAAAATTTAAAAAGATGACGTTAAACCACAAAGGGGAGCGCTATAATAAACCTGACTTTTCACCTGAAAGTCACACATCTTTCCAAGTTATAAGGATATGCAGTCTGCCTCCAATTAACAAATTGCTAAACATATACCTAAGTCCCATGTAATGGCATGCATTCTAGGAAATGAACCTCTGATTCAACAAAAAATACAAGAAAATTACAACTTTCAAGGTCCTTTAAATATATTCACACTATGTATTAATGTTAACTTCACAAAAGAATTTATAATGCTTTTATTACTTGCTTAATTGCTTTCATCATAAACCAAAGCCTGCTGTCAAACATATATTTACAATAGGCTTCCAGTGTTTTTTGTTAATGAAGGCAAAAGTTCTAAGACATGTTAAATAATAACTGAACCATGTAATTTTTCCCTCACAGATGAATTAGATGCGAGTCTTAAGACACCAAGAGAGTGAGAAACTCAAGTATTAACAGCAGTGCACAACCTTTCACATAACCAGCGACCAGTGAGCATTTAATTGAAATACTACAAACTCTAGAATACGAAGAAGTAAAAGAATAGATCTCTAGAACCCACCAGCCAGAATCTTGTTGTTTTTCCTTCTGTCAGCAGGGCTTCCAACTGCAATGGCGTCAATTTACTGGCAGTACCTAAAATGTTCAATAGAAATTAAGTCCAAAACCAGTGCTCAATTTATAACCTCCACGAGCACGTCAATTCTTCTAATCAATAAAACACAGAAGATCCCAATTTTCATACCCAGTCCTTGGAAAGCAGGTTGCTGCGTTAAAATATATATAACTGCACAGAACACACCATGGTAAATGTGTACTCAAAAATAAAAGTGTTGCTTGTGTAGCAAATACTAGAAGTCCCAAAACATCAACAGCACATAAGAGAATAACACAAACCTAAAAATACCACCATATACCAAAGAGCCAAATGGTAATCAATTAGTAAAGAAATAACTAGCAGAAGAACCTGAAAAAGGGAATTGAACAAAATTCAGAAGTTTTGAATAGTAATAATTTATACAAGGAAAAATGAGAATATTAATCATGCATTCTGTAATTTAATACATGCATAAGCACAGTGATTACTGAAAACTAATTTACATTGGTAAAAAATCATAAAAGCGGCAGAAAACAACGTTTTAAGTGATCACCTTAGCATAAAACAAAGTATTAGCAATAAATTCTTCCCATGTTTCTTCTCTCACTATCTGTTGTAAAGAGAAATTCTACGCTTAGTAACCAAATTAAATTAAACAACAGGTTTTAGCATAATTTAAATAATGTAATTTAAAAAAAAATACCTTAATAGTGACCAACAGTAAAAATGTGAGAATACCTTGAATCTCCTGCACAAAATTAAAATTACAGAAAATGAATAAAAATAAGAAAAGGCTAATGAGAAATTGGTTATGAAGAAGTAGAATACCCGATGAAAGAGTTGATTGATGATGTGTGGAGAGAGAACAAAAGCTGCAGATGTGCGTACGATTAAATAAGAGAAGAAAGTGAGAAAATGGAAGAGATAATATGGCTCCGACAACATTTGATTCAACCATTCCATCTTTCGGATCTTTCTGAAATGGATCTGCTTCGTTTTATAGGGTTTCAATATCCTATTTCCTTCTCCATTTTCGAATCACACTGGGCACTGCAGGGGCTTGCAATACTTTCTGTTGTTCTTCTAACTTCTAACCCGACCCGGAAGTTAACCGGGTTTAAGACAAATTAAAAAAAAAAATCAATATATTCAAAATTTTAATTAATTAAAAGTCTATGAGAGTTTCCAAAATTTTTATTTTAACGAATTCGTTTCTTTTAATTGAAATTAATATACGCCCCTAAAAACACATGAAAATATTTTTCTCTTACGAAGATCATCATAATTTTTTTTTTTTTAAGTTTATCATAAATATTTTTAAAATTTCATCAAATTTGCCAAAAAAAATATATTTTAGGGGAGGTGACAGAATCACATAAACATTAAACCAATAAAACATATAAGTATTTTAATTAACAAAACGTAAATTAGATTAGGGCAAATAGAAATGAATAACATTTGGTTACCTTTATGATGGATCAGCTCTAAGGGGGGTGTTTACTTAGCTTCTTAGACGGGTGGAATCGATGGGGGTTTCCCCATTCCACCGTTTACTTGGGCCATATTTTGGGGGAATCCCATTCCTCTTAAATTTGGGAGAAAAGTGTTGTGCCCCTATCACCACCGCCATTATTGCCAACTATTGACCAGCACAGTTGTCATCTGACAGACCGTCCACGTCACCTCATCGTCACCGATGTGACTTTTCATCAGAATCTTACTTTTGTCCTCACTATTAGCCAACGCAAAATCTGTAGGCCATCGTACATGACATTGTTTTTATCATCATCGACGACCGAACAGAACCCACCTAGATCCATATATCATCTAACGATGGTTCCTCTTGTGCCAACGGTGACGAAAGAAGTGTGCTCAAACGTTGTTGCCTAGATATGTTGACCAGTGGTGACCGATTTGGAATTTTTTTATTTTTCAAATATTATTTAAATAAAAAATAATATTTTTATATTTATTAAATAAATTAAATTAGTATTATTTTAGTTACATTGATAATATTGTATTTTAATTTAATTATTTATGAAAACATAAAATTGTGAGGTTATTTTTGCTTAATATATTATTAAGGAATTTTATTGTCTAACAAAATATATGTATATAATAATTTAATACTAACGGCATTTTCTTCGAAAAATCATAAATTTCATTCCATTTCGATCACTATTTATTATTACAAGTAAACAACGTAATCATATTTTATTCATTCACATATTCTCATTCTCATTCTCATTCTCGTACTCATCCTTATTTCCACTCTCACGCATTTCACGGAGTAAAAGCCACCTAAATGTTTTTAGCGCTTGAGCTTAAGACCAAAATGCATCATCTAAATGCCCAAAACTACGTCCAATATGTTGACAAAATGCCTCATCTAATTTGATGATGAAAAAGAGTAATGTTATTTATGGGATGTTTGTCTGAGCTTATAAGCTGATCAAACTAATTTATAAACTCTAAAATTAAGTTGACCTGTTTGTTTATCATTTTTTTTTTTTTTTTTGAGCTTATAACTTATAAGCTAAAAAAAAATAAGTTGGGGGAAGGTACTTTTTTTGCTTAATATATTATTAAGGAATTTTATTGTCTAACAAAATACAACAATGCTACAGACACCGGTGTTTTTACACCGAAATTTTGTACCGGCTGACGTGTATGCTGACTCAACCATCCAACGTATTTTAGCGTTATTAAATTTTATCTAATGAATGGCCGTCCATAACATATGGACGGCCGTTCACTAATATGGAACCCCCCGTCCATATTATATGGACGGGGTCCATTTATTACGGATAGGCGTCATTGCTAAATACAAATAAAAAATATTAAAAAAAATTAGGGACGGCCGTTCATAGGTTATGAACGGTCGTGTATACACATTGGACGGGAGTTCATATGTTAATGGACGCCCGTCCTTTAATTTTTGACCGGCGTCCATTACGTCCTTTTTTTAAAATATAAAAATTTAAAAAAAAATATTTGGACGTCCGTCCATACTTAAGAGACGCCCGTCCCACCTCTAATTAAAATAAAAAATTTGGTTTAAAAAAAATTAAAAAAAAGGGCAGCGGTCTTCTTCTTCTTTCTTCCATCTGCGCTGGTTCATCGTGTTTGTGGCATTTTTGTACAAGACATAGATTGTTGTCCAAGCAATAAAGTACAGTTATTACTAATTTCTCTTTCCTTTTGGGATGAATTTGCCCTTGTGCTTCTTCTCTTCATGATTACGTGAGCTATGTTAACTACACAGAATGGGTTAAGCAAACAGCCCAAAACTTCCCATTGAGCATAACTTCTTGCACAGACTTCCTAGACTTCCCAGGGAAATTTCAACGTCGTCGTCGGGCTTGGAAAGAACCAGCTTCTTGGATTCAGACAAGTACATGGCGAAAACTTCAACTCCTTCAATGGAAATAGGGCTCTTGCCACTGTTGGTGATAGTTGAAGAAGAAGGAAAAATTTACAAAGAGAAAGCAGAGGATTCCTTCAAGAAATTTAGTAGCAAGAAAAGTGTTCCACATGAAAATAAAACCATACATTCATGATTTCAAGCTGGCTTTTGAGCATTTCTGCATTCACACTGGAGGGAGAGCGGTGTTAACAGGCAAAGGCGTAACTAGAATAGCCGTATTTCCAGCTATAAGCTGGTGACTGGCTGCATTTTCTAGTCGCTCCCATGCTTCTTTTCGCTTCTCAGCTACCAAGGTTAGCTTTGATTCTTCTTCCCTAAACTGAGAGTGGCAAGACATGAACAGTACGTCATCCATCTCTGGGAACATCTTTCTGACATTCAGAGTGAGGTTCAGCAGTGCTGAGTTCTAATGGTTTTGAGCGTTTTTCTCTAAAACTGGAAATATGACGGGCAGAACCACCCGCCGGTTATGTGCAATCAAGTTGACAATTTGATCGTTGCTCCACCAAAAAAGGGCCCTTTCAGCCACCTGAAGAAAATGAAGTTAGAGAGAACATATCTTGGAGCTTCTTTTTTAGGCAAAAAGCAACACTACTAGAAAAACACTTCTAATATATACAGTTTTTTTATAAAGTGACGCCCGTCCAATAGCAAGGGACGCCCGTCCACAAATTGTGGATGGGCGTCCCCAAAGTTTTTTTTTTTTTTCATATTTGGGTTAAGGACGGGCGTCCCTTATTTGTGGACGCCCGTCCATAAAATTTGGACGGGCGTCCATTGTTTTTTTTTAAAACAAAACAATTTTTTATGGACGGTCGTCCATTCCACTATGAACGACCGTCCAGGATGTATGGACGGCCGTCCGAAATCATTGGACGGCCGTCCATTTATGTCCGGATTCAATCGGTCCAACGTGGCGGTCTCCACGTGTTTCGATGCAATTTTTCGGTGCAACTTTTCGGTGGATATAGCATTTTTTAACAAAATATATGTATATAATAATTTAATACTAATGGCATTTTCTTCGAAAAATCATAAATTTCATTCCATTTCGAGCACTATTTATTATTACAAGTAAACAACGTAATCATATTTTATTCATTCAAATATTCTCATTCTCATTCTCTGTCTCATCCCTATTTCCACTCTCATGCATTCCATGAAGTAAAAGCCACCTAAATGGTTTTAGCCCGTGAGCTTAAGACCAAAATGCATCATCCAAATGCCCAAAACTACGTCCAATATGTTGACAAAATGCCTCATCTAATTTGATGATGAAAAAGAGTAATGTTATTTATGAGATGTTTGTCTAAGCTTATAAGCTGATCAAACAAATTTATAAACTCTAAAATTAAGTTGACCTATTTGTTTATCTTTTTTTTTTTTTTGAGCTTATAACTTATAAGCTAAAAAAAAATTAAGTTGGGGGAAGGTACCTTTTTTTTTTTTTTTTGCTTATAAGCACTCTACTTATAAGTTAATTTGACAAAGTATATGTTAGGATATAAAACAAAATTCAGTTGACTTGTTGACCAGCTGACTAGGATAGTTATTAAATGTTGTACTCATTGTTAGCTCAGCTTATCTTGTATAAAAGCAACTGTAACTACTTTACTTTTAATAAAAAAGTAACAACACGACAGTTTTCTCTCTTCTTCTTCTCTGATTTTCTTTGTTCCTATTACGTGCTTCTTCCTTACTTAGTATCAGAGTCGTTGACAAACGTCAATAATGGCTGACACTTCTTCAAATTCTTCTTCAATTAACAGATCCGACAGAAATTCAAGCCTTAAACAGAATTCTGATGCAGCAAATTCCAGTAATTAAGCTACAATGTCTTCTTCGTCTATCCCAGCAATTTCGCCCAAATTAACCTGAGATAATCACCGATTATAGAAATCTCAGATTCTCTTTGCTGTTAGAGCTCATGATCTTGAAGAACACTTGACTGGACTAATTCCTTGTCCTGCTCCATTTGTTAGAATACATTCAACTGACTCAAACTCTGAGGTAATTAAGAAATCTAATCCAGATTATTCTCTCAGGAAGAAGACTGATAAGCTGTTAGTTAGCTGGTTGTTGTCTTCTATCTCTGAATCCATGTTTGTTGTTATCTCCAAATGCCAATTTGCTACTGATATGTGGCTTACATTAGAGAAGGAATTCCTTACTGAATCTAGGGCGAAAACTCTTTACGTTAAAAGTCTTCTACAAAATACAAAGAAGCACAATTTGAGTATACACGATTACTTTCTCAAAATGAAAAGCTTTGCTAAAAATTTGTCTGCCAGTGGAATTGTTATCTCTGATGAAGAACTCTTGAACTATATCCTGGATGGATTAGACTCAGAATATGACGTTGTTGTTGTTAATATTACCACTAGATTTGAGTCTCGAATTGATCCTATATCTGTTCAAGAGGCTCAGATTGTGCTTCAGAAACTGGAATTGAGATTGGAAAAGGCAAATTCGACAATGACTTTAGTGGTTCATTCTGAATTTCAAGGAGGTTCTGCTAATGTTGCTAATCTTAGCACTGATAGTACAAATAAGAAGTTACAATCTGATTCGATGTCTCCACTTCCCATTAGTTTTTCTCAATTTCACACTCGGTCATTGCCTGAATTATAGACCTCCTTCAACTCGTCATATTTTCCTGTTAATCAAACCTTGC